CCCACATGGCGGATGACGTACAAAAATTCGTCACCTCGTGCGACACATGCCAACGGATGAAGAGCAGCAAACAGAAGAAAGCAGGGTTACTACAGCCTCTTCCAGTCCCTGAACAGCCTTGGCAAGTGGTTAGCCTCGACTTCATCAACGGGTTACCACCTACCAAAGCTGGTTACGACGCCATTCTAGTCGTCATCGACAAATTCTCCAAAATGGGACACTTCATTCTGACACACACAACGGCTCGCACCGAGGAGACAACGCAATTATTCTTCCGCTACGTCATCTCGCAACATGGCATTCCAACCACGCTGATCTCCGACAGAGACCCGAAATTCACGAGTAAATTCTGGAAGGAGCTCATGTCGCTCATGGGGACCAAACTCGCCATGTCATCAGCCTATCATCCCCAAACGAATGGTCAGACAGAGCGGCTCAACCAGATTGTCGAACAGCTTCTACGAGCAGCGTGTAAGGACGATATCTCTAAATGGGATGCACACCTGCCGGCTCTCGAGTTTGCGTATAACAACGCCACGCACGCCGCAATAGGGCAAACTCCTTTCTTCCTCTGTTACGGTCGCAACCCACTCACGCCTCAGAAACCAACAGTACCCGCCACGGTGCAACCCGTGTCAGAATGTTATCTTATGCTCTAGCCTGTAGTGGGGTGCTCTATAGCGAGTACAACCCTTCTAGGGTTTCCTATTTGTATCCCCATTCTTGCTAGTGCAGTCCTCTTTCTCTCTTCAATTTTTTCACATGCTATCAGAGCAGGTCGATCCCCTTGGATCGATCCTGTGGGTGGACTCACCACCTCGTTGCTTCCGCTGCAACTACTACTGCTACTCTCTGTGCCGCACGCCCCGTGGCGTGCGGCAGTTTTTCTTCCGGCCGTGCGCCCCGAGGCGCGCGGCGGTTCTCTGCCCGCCGTGCGCCCTGAGGCGCGCGGCGGTTTTCTGCCCGCCGTGCGCCCCGAGGCGCGCGACGGGTTTCTGCCCCGTCACTCGGCGCGCCCCCCCCAGGAGGCGCTACGACGGGCGACGGGGACCCGCGCGTCGCACCCCGTCGCCCTACCTACAACCCCGGCCCCGTCGCCCTGCCTGCGACCCGGCCCCGTCGCGCCACCTGCGACCCCGGTCCCGTCGCCATACCTGCGGCCCCGGCCCTAGCCCCGTCGCCCTACCAGCGCCCCGGCCCCGGCCCCGTCGCCCTACCTGCGACCCCGGCCCCGTCGCCCTACCTACGGCATGTGCACCCCCCCCCCCCCCCCCCTCCTTTTCCCGTCGCCTGTCAAGGCGACCTGAGGGGGCCGCACCTGGGGGGTGGCGAGTAGGGGGTGGCGAGTGTGGGGGTGGCAGTTGTGCATTCCTCCCTTTGCTCCTCCTCCTCCTTCGTCTCCCACTGCTGCAGCTGTCGCTGAGGGGGGTGGATGAGTGGGAGACTGAGGTTTAGGGTTTAAGGGGGGTGTGTGGGAGTGGAGCTAGCGGTGTAGCAGTGGGTGTGTGCCAGGGGGAGTGGGATAGTTTGGGGAAGCTGAATGGAGGTTGCCGTCGTGTCGCCAGCAGCACCTGTATTCCGGGGACTTCGTCCGGTAGCCCAGTCGTAGCCAGCTGTGCCAGCCGCCCGTGGGTCCGTTGCTCGTCTGCCGCTACTTCACCCGCGGGGCCAGTTACTCCAGTATTCCGGAGCGTTGTTCCGGTAGCCGCTGTGCCAGTGTGCCTCCTGTTGCCCGTGTGTCTGCAGCTTCATCCGTCGCCTCCTATCTCCTCTCCTCTCACTCTCTCCTCCTCCTCACTTGCCCGTTGTGACTACCACTAGCTTTGCTCATAATTGTTAACTTTAAACTATTGCTTCTTGAACTTGTGCTCAGAATGTGTGGTGACATTGTGATCCACCCTGAGCTTGTACTGCTTTGCTTGCTCTGCTGATTACACCCCACTTTGGCTATGGGGGTGTGTCAGAATGTTATCTTATGCTCTAGCCTGTAGTGGGGTGCTCTATAGCGAGTACAACCCTTCTAGGGTTTCCTATTTGTATCCCCATTCTTGCTAGTGCAGTCCTCTTTCTCTCTTTAAACTTTCACAACCCGCACATGACTTCATTACCACTATGCACCAATTGTGGGAGCGCACGCATAAACGTCTTCTGACTATCCAGCAGCAACAAAAGAAGCTCGCTGATCAGAGTCGCAACGATCATTCCATCAAGATTGGCGACCAAGTGCTTCTGGATACACGCAATCTCGACATTAGCCATCTTCCGTCTAAGCTCCGACCTCGCTTCTGCGGACCTTTTCTCGTCGAGGCGTAGGTCACTCCAGTAACCTTCCGCTTGCGTTTACCAGCTACCTGGAGAATTCACAATGCCTTCCATGTTCAACTTCTCAGGCCCTATCGGGACCCAAACACGGTCTTCAAAGGTCGCTAGCCGCCGCCGCCACTGCCAGTGATCGTTAATGGGGAACCCAAGTACGAAGTCGAAGCCGTTCTGGCGCACCGACGACGACGTAGCGGCACCTTGGAGCTCTTGATTCGTTGGAAAGGCTATGATCCTTCCGAGGATACCTGGGTACCTGAACACGACATGGATAACGCCCGCCGTCCTCTCCAGGACTACCTTGTCAAGCAGGGTGTTACTTCTACCACCCAGCTTTGAGGGGGGGAAGTGTGGGAGGACGTCCCCGTTATAATATTTTCTCACTATTATATTTTTCCGTTATCCTATTCTCCCTTTTCTCCTCTTTATTTTGGTCTTTATCTCATCTCAATCGACCTACTATTCTATTTTCTAGAGCCTTCTATTTATTTCTCTTATTTCCTACTTTTCCCACCGACATACCTATTATACGGCACCGACAGCGCCGACAGTGGTGTATACGGTGTAATCTGGGCGTAATCCCAAGTGCCAATAGCCTTGCGTGCTTGTGCGCACTTGTGATTGTAGTATCGGGAAGGGCGTGTTCCCGAAGGTTCGTTTTATCTCGTTTATCCTTGTATTTTCCGAGTATAAAAATGCCTTGTATTCAGCTTTAGTGACAAGTTTCGATTGAGAATTCGATCCTGTGACAACCGTCGTTCGACTGCACGGGATACCAGCATCAATCATCAACGACAGAGACACGAAATTCACCAGCAACTTCTGGCGGAACCTGTGGCAGCAGTTCGGCACGCGACTACAGTTTAGTTCATCTTACCACCCCGAAACCGACGGACATACAGAACGGACAAATCAGACCATGGAACAACTCATCAGGGCCACGTGCGACGACCCAAACACGTGGGAACAGCAACTGCCACTCATCGAATTCGCATACAACAACGCCCCATCCACCACGACCCGATAGTCACCGTTTTACCTGAATTACGGACAAGACCCAACAGTACCCATGACCCCGAATCCCGACAACCCGGTTCCACGCGCGCAACAGTTCGCCGAAATTTTGCAAGCAGCACGGACCAGGGCAGCAGACGGAATAAAAAAACCGAACATCATCGCTAAACGCAACGCCGACCGCCACCGCAAACCTGTCACTTACCAGCCCGACGACCTAGTTTTACTCGACACTCAGAACCTCCGACTGCCCATAACCCCAAAACTCCGCCCCCGATACTGCGGGCCATTTCGCATAAGCCACATGATAACGCCTGTCACCGCCCACCTCCTCCTCCCTGCTGACTGGTACGTCAGCCCCTCGTTCCACGTCAGCCTGCTTCGCCCCTACGTCCCGTCCACAAGCCAACTCCCACGGAATCGCCCAGTCAGCATGACAAAATCCTGACGACTACGACCGCCGACTGAACCTATCATCACCCCCGACAAAATCCTGAGCCACAGAGTTCGTGACCCTCAAGGAGCCCGAAGGATCGAGTTCCTACTCCGCTGGAAAGACCGTACACCCACCGAAGACAATTGGGTTCCCCTGGACAGAATTGAAAATCACCACGTCCTCACCGAGTATCTGCACAGCCGAAACTTCAGGGATGTACACGCACTTTTGTAAGGAGGACCTCCTTGGGAGGGGGGGTAGTGTAAGGAAAATTCCTTTTCCTTACTTCGCATTCCTACTCAACGCGTACATCACTGTAGCACCACAGTCAGCACCGTTACCACTCGCAATCCTCGCATCGACAATCCGCCCGCCACTTTCGCACGTCGCACCCCGACCTCACGGCTCGGCGGGTAACCCGCGCTCCGGGCCTCCGCTTCGACACTTTTCCCAACCTCAGTCCCAGGCCCGTCGCGCGACAACCACAGTCCATTACCGTTACCACTGTAGTTTCGCTATTTATTCTTCGCTCATGCCTTCGCTCATTGTACTCTTGCTTCGATAGAGCAATTCTCGTTCGTTCACTCAATTGCACTCGTAACATAGCTTATCACATGCTTATGCTGTCACAAAGACCTACAATCTGAAAAAAATATGATGTAGATCCATAACGGTATAATGGTGGCCAGCAAATTTCCATGTATATCAGATGCCCGTAACGAAACACTCACTACACAAGCTTGTTTCGGGCCTGAACTCACTCCGGCCAGCCTGGCATGTTCTCCTGCCTTGATGTCGCAATCGCATTGGTACAACTCCGTTATGCTCTTGCTTTTTTACGACGTTCTGAAGATTTTGAAGGCAGGAGGGATCCTTTTGTGGATCTGATATTTCGGGCAGATGGAAACGGATGAATTCGAGGATGAGTGGTGCTTCATGTGTACCCTCAACTGGTCTCTAGTTGTGGTGGTGGTGGGATAAATGAGTCCAGCCTCACATCCTGTCACCCAAGTGTTACGGCACCAAGCAAAAGCAGCTGTTTTGCTTCCACAGGTTTTTTGGCTCGATACCGAGTCACGACTCACAGCACAGCCCTTCAAGATTGAAACGGGAGGTTGCTTGATGCTTAGCCCGCATCTGACGTGGCAAGCCCTTGGTGGTCTTGGAGCCACATGAGTTGGGTGGGTTCGGAAGGATGTTTGCGGACCTGCGTTACGAAGCTGGAAGCGCAATGCGCACTCGCCACAGCCCAATCTCCGCTCTGCCCAACCTACACTCCTTTCATTGGCCTGGCTCCGCCTTGCCTGGCTCCGCCTACCACCGCACCCTCTCACCCTTTTCCTGGCTGGCCTTCGGAATGTACTCAAGGCAGCATTAGGTGGAATTCATTTTGAATCTCAAGCTGTGCAGCCATGGCGACGACCACCGTCTCCGCGCCGTCGGCTTCTCGGCTTCTATCAGGCCATAAAATTACTTCAAGCCGGAGCCCCTTCCTTGGAGGTGTGGCCTTTTTACGAAGTTACCATTTTTTCGTGATCGCAAACAATCAAGCTCAATAGCAGCACATTCTTTTCTTTATCTCACTCAGATCCCTCGTTTCTCTTTGCAGGCAATGCCAGAATTTGTCAGATTCCCGCGCGATTGCCGCTCAGGCAAAGGGCCTCGCGGCATCGTCAGGCGAAGCTGACATGGACTGATGACAGCAGCCGCCGGCTCCGCGTGGCCGCAGAGGCCGCGAAGGACGGGGGCGCGGAGCTGGCAGTGGGGGACCTGGAGGCGGAGGCGGAAGTCATTGAAGCGCAGATTAAGGTGCGCCAGCTCGTCTGAGCCGTCAAACTCTCACCTTGGACATCCGTTGGCTTACGTTAAACAAAAAAAAAAAAAAGAAATGTAAGCGGATTCCACTGTTTCAGCTGATGCACTGACCATGGAGTTTTCTTCGTGTCGGCGTGTCGCAGGCGCTGCGGGAGGAGAATGCGAAGCTGCGGGAGCAGATGATCTTCACGCAGGAGGGCCCCAAGGTGGTTCCGCCGCCGGGCGAGGGCAAGAGGATCTTCGACACCGACGAGTACCTCAACGCGCACCGCATTCACCTCGAGTACCGGTACGCACCGCATCTACCTTGATAGTACCGGTAGGCACCGCATCTACCTTGATAGTACCGGTAGGCACGGCATCTACTTTGATAGTACCGGTAGCCACCGCATCTACCTTGATAGTAACGGTAGGCACCGCGTCTACCTTTATAGTACCGGTAGGCACCGCGTCTACCTTGATAGTACCGGTACGCACCGCATCTACCTCGATAGTCACACCGCATGTACCCTCGATAGTGCCAGTTGGCACTGCGTGATTCACCTCGACTTCCGGAACTTACCGCAGCCAGGGGTCGTACGGAGTGACGCAAGGCGGTTCCTTTCCTTTCATTGTTATTTTTATTTGTCCGGCGTGAAATGCGCAAGTAGGGCTCACTGCTGTCGCTCCCGTTTACATTCCACCTGCAACGCCACGTGTCTCTCCGTGCGCAGCTTCGGGCAGTACAAGAAGCTGCGGTGGGAGATCGACCAGCACGAGGGCGGGCTGGAGAAGTTCTCTCGCGGCTACGAGAAGTTCGGCTTCAACCGAGTGTAAGCGCCCGCTCTCGCGCATCGCTTCGCCGTTTCCTGCCTCGAATCAACCGCTTTGATTCTTTGTTCGTCTTGAATGACATTGCGCTTCCCGTTTAATCCGCGCAGGCACAACGGCATCGTGTACCGCGAGTGGGCTCCTGGCGCTTATGTAAGTTGAATGAAAGCTTTCCGGGTCCTGGTTGACGTTTTTTATTCTTTTACTCATTTCATCTCACGACGGTGTGCTTGTGGCTGTGGTTGCGTGGTGCAGTCGGCGTCGCTGATCGGCGACTTCAACAACTGGAATCCCAACGCCGACATCATGAAAAAGGTCCGCGCCCGCCGCTCAGCCCTGTGCTGTCAACACTCGTCGCTTCCATTTGACGAAATAGTAACGGTTCTTGAGTGTCGGTCTCGTGTGGGTGCTTGTGCGCGATTGCGTGTGGCAGGACGAGTTCGGCGTGTGGGAGCTCTTCCTGCCCGACAACCCCGATGGCACCCCCGCCATTCCCCATGGTTCCCGCGTCAAGGTCAGTCTGTGCTCCGCGCGCGCGCTCCAGGTATCATGGTGGCTGAGTGACTGTATGAGAGGCTGATGTGGAACACATATGGTTAACAATGCTGCACACGTCAGCCAGAAACTCTCTTATAGAGAATGTTGGCACTAGCGCACGAACAGCCGCCGGCGGAAACAACGAAAGCATAGCAATGGCTTGTACACGGCGTTGCGATGCACATGCGCCGTGCAGATTAACAATGGCTTTACTAGTGTGCACTCAGTATAGCCTGCCTGTGTGGGGTCTCAGTGTCTTTCTGGTGTGATGTCACGTGGATTTGTTGTGCATGACGTGGCATTCAGATCCACATGGACACGCCGTCGGGGTGGAAGGACGCGATCCCCGCGTGGATCAAATTCGCCGTGCAGGCGCCCGGCGAGATCCCCTACAACGGCATCTACTACGACCCGCCGCCGCAGGTGCGTCGCCGCGCCACGCCTCACCTCCATTTCCATGCGAGTTCCTCCCGTCATGGACGCGCCATCTTCTCAATGCATCTGCATCTGACTCTCTGACCATGCGCTGCTTGCTCACTACTCCAGCGGCCTTTCACCGTGCCTGACTGTTCGTCCACCGTGCGTGTCCTCGTTCCGCCCGTGCGCCCACCCGCAGGAGCGCCACGTGTGGAAGAACGCACGCCCCAAGCGACCCAGAGCGTTGCGCATCTACGAGGCGCACGTGGGCATGAGCAGCACTGTACGTCCCCCATCCCCCCCCCTCTTCTTCCCGCGGTAGCCCTTCTTCCGCGCCTGCTATTCCGCGTTCTTCCGCTGCTTTCCGCTCGTCCTTTCCGCCCCCTCCCCCTCTCTGCGCCAGCTCCCGCGGTTCACCTATGCCTCCTCGGCACTCGCCTGCCGACTCTCCTTCCTGCCACTTCAATGTTTGACTCATCCGCGTTAATGTGTCGTGCGCTAACAGGAGCCGCGAGTGAGCACGTACGCGGAGTTCCGCGACAACGTGCTGCCGCGCGTGCGCGATCTGGGGTACAACGCCATCCAGCTCATGGCCATCCAGGAACACGCCTACTACGGCTCCTTCGGGTCCGTCCCCCATTCCCTTTTCGTCCGCTTCCCTTTCACGCGTTTAACGGCTCGTTCGGTTCTGTAGCCCCGCTCTCACTGCAGCTGTCCCTCCCGCCCTTTTCCACCTCATTGCTCCTCTGCTCTGCTTGTTCCACGCCATCGCATCCCCCTATCCCTCATATCATCCCTTCCTCTGCGTCGCCCGCCGGCATCCGCGCGACTCTCCCTTCGCAACCCCCCCCGGCGCAGGTACCACGTGACCAACTTCTTCGCGGTGAGCAGCCGGTGCGGCACGCCCGACGAGCTCAAGAGCCTCATTGACGCGGCGCACGGCATGGGCATCGTCGTGCTCATGGACTGCGTGCACAGGTGGGTGGGCCGCACAGGTGGCCGGGGGGTTGGGTTGTTTACTGCGCGCACAGGCAGTCTGATTGGGATGGCGCACTGCGCATGCAGGTGGGCGGGGCATGGTGGTGTGCCCCGTGTGCACAGGCAGGTTACGGGACGGTTGACATGCAAGAGGGAGCGGGGACGTGGGTGTGCGCGAGTGCACGTGCAGTCATGCCTGTGCGCACGCGCATCACCATATACAGCTTGCCGGTGCACCCCACCCTTGTTGGGCACTGCCTCTGTTCGCACTCTCTCGCCCTCTCCGCTCCGCCCCTCTTCCTCCTCAACCGCATGTGAAGCAGCCAGACTGAACGGACGTGAACGAACGGACGTGTTTCTGGCATGAATTCGCACGTCCTCCTCCCTCTCACTTTTCCCCCTCCCCTCTTCCCCCTCCGCCGGCACCGGCACCGGCACCGGCACAATGTGGTTGCGCAGCCACGCGTCGAACAACGTGTTGGACGGGCTGAACATGTTTGATGGCACGGACGGGCAGTACTTCCACTCGGGCGAGCGCGGGTACCACTGGATGTGGGACTCGCGCCTCTTCAACTACGGCCACTGGGAGGTGGTGCGCTTCCTGCTCTCCAACCTGCGCTGGTGGCTCGAAGAGTACAAGTTCGACGGCTTCCGCTTCGATGGCGTCACCTCCATGATGTACACGCACCATGGGCTGCAGGTGTGTGCTCCGTGCCTCATGCACCATGCCTTGTGCGCCATGCGCCATGCATCACGCTGCATACCTCATCCACATCATGCACCATCATGTCCCATGAAACATGCTCCATGCCTTAAAAACTGTGCACCACGCACCATATCCCACGGACATGGTGTCTTTTTCTTCCACTCTGTTCCTCCATCAGCTATGTTGCCACTCACCCACTTCACTTCTCACTTACCCCCTTCCTCCCCCCTCACAGATGGCGTTCACAGGCAACTACGAGGAGTACTTTGGGTTCGCCACGGACGTGGAGGCAATGGCATACCTGATGGTGGCGAACGACATGATGCACGGGCTCTACCCCGACTGCGTCACCATCGCTGAGGACGTCAGCGGCATGCCCACGCTGTGCCAGCCCGTGGCGTGGGGCGGCGTGGGCTTTGACTACCGCCTGCAGATGGCCATCGCTGACAAGTGGATCGAGCTGCTCTCCGAGTGAGTCCCAGTCTTGAGTCTCTTTGGCCCGTGGCTCATGTACACGGTGCCTTCCTCTCACCCCTCACCCCTCCTGCCACACCTCATATGCGCAGCGGTGCATCTCGAACACTCCTTCGCACATGCCCCAACTTACTCTGCCTTCTCACGATATGCCCCTCCCCCTGCTTTCCGCACTGCTGCGCTCACTGCTGCTGCTGTGCCCCGTTCACAGGCAATCAGACGAGCAGTGGCAGATGGGTGACATAGTGCACACGCTGACCAACCGGCGGTGGATGGAGAAGTCGATTGCGTATGCGGAGAGCCACGACCAGGCGCTGGTGGGCGACAAGACCATTGCGTTCTGGCTCATGGACAAGGACATGTACGACTTCATGGCCCTCGATGGGCCCTCCACTCCGCGCGTGGACCGCGGCATTGCGCTGCACAAGATGATTCGGCTCATCACCATGGCGCTGGGCGGCGAGGGCTACCTCAACTTTATGGGCAACGAGTTCGGCCACCCTGGTACGCTGCCCGCACAGTGTAGGAGGTAGGGGTATGTGTCCTTCAAGAAATCAAGTTGGTGGGAATGCAGAGGCCTGCTACTTGAACATGATGTTACAACTGCAAAAAACGTTTGCTCTGGGTAATATGATATTCGTCCCTCACTGGCTTCTTTTATGATATGGCTTGTATGCATGCGTGTATGCAACTTGGCATGGCATGGCGCGGCGTGGCATGGCATGGCATGGTGTGGGCTGTGCAGAGTGGATTGACTTCCCGCGGTGGGACTTCACGACCCCGGCGGGCAAGTTCATCCCGGGCAACGGCGGCAGCTACCACCTGTGCCGGCGCCGCTTTGACCTGGCGGACGCCACGTACCTGCGCTACAAGGGGCTCAACGACTTCGACCAGGCCATGCAGCAGCTCGAAGAGACCTACAAGGTGCCAAAGGGGGGGGGGGGGCAGAGAGGTGCAAAGGGGGAAGGGGGGAAGAGGTGCTACGTGAGGCGAGGAGAGGTGCTAGTTAGGGTGGGGAAGGAGAAGCACAAGGTGCAGTGGGCAGGGTGTGGAGGAAATGCGATGCCAATGCAAAAGCCACCTCTTTTTGGCAGTCCATCTCACCTGGTCCCTTGCCCCTGCTTCTTTCTCCCCCTTTCCCTGGCTACCAGTTCATCTCATCAGAGCACCAGTACGTGTCGCGCAAGGACGAGGGCGACAAGCTGATCGTGTTTGAGCGCGGCGACCTGGTGTTTGTCTTCAACCTGCACTGGCAGAACTCCTACACCGACTACCGCATCGGCTGCAACAAACCCGGCAAGTACAAGGTCAGTCACCGCCGCCGCGCCCCCACCCGACCCTCATCCTGCCTGTCATTCCTCCCTTCTTGCTTTCTGCACGAGTCTTCCATTCCTTCTCTTCTTCCCCCCCCCCCGCCCGTGCTGCCTGCTTCAACGTGTGTCTGCCTAGATCGCTGCCTGCTCTCCCCGCTCTGCTTGTCACCACCCTGTGCCCACACACCCACCTGCTTCTTTATGTCTGCCACCCCCTTTGCCTGCCACCCCTGTGCCTGCCACCCCTGTGCCTGCCACCCCCTTGCCTGCCTGCCCGCGCCACAGGTGGTGCTGGACTCGGATGAGGGGCGCTTTGGGGGCTACAACCGCATCGACCACAACGCCGCCTTCTACTCCAATGTATGCCCCCTGCCCCCTGCCCCCTGCCCCCTCGCTCTCTGTTTCGCTGCCCAAGCCTCCATTTTCCCCTCCTCCCCTCAACATGTTTCTTCCATCCCTTCTCACCCTTGGAGCTGGCCAGTCGTCTGCTCCACCCACCCCTGCCTTCCCTCGCTTCTGTTGGTCCCTCCTGTTTGTCTCTTCCCTCTCGACCCAGCCCCTCTCTTGGCTCATCTGTGTGTGTGTGCATTGACTGGTTAACTGACTGTGGCCCTGGATGGCTATGCAATGCAGGAGGGGTGGCATGACGGGAGGCCGCACTCGTTCCAGGTGTATGCGCCGTCGCGCACGGCGGTGGTGTACGGCCCTGCAGACTACGAGGACCCACTCATTGAGTACTGCGAGGAGAACCCCGACACTGATGAGTGCCGCACCTACGACGAGTAACCCGCTCTCCACACCACCCACAGGGGCCTTGTGCTGCTGCACCCGGCACTGCCACCCCCATGATCTGAACCATGCTTCCACCATTGTCCATTTGGGTCAGGGAGCTCTGCCTCTCTGCCTTATTGCCCATGTCTCCAGCCGGCACAGCCAGCGGCCAACCCTCATCCCTGAGTGCCTTGCTTGCATCTCTGAACTGTTTTGCTGGCCTACCTGCTTTAAGTACTTCTGAAGCTCTGCTTCGTTTCCCAGGCACCGCTTGGTGCCTGAAAGCCGTACAGACTTGCATTGATTGTGTGATACTGTATCAGGCAGTAATTCAGTGTTGATTGCTGCCTATTACTAGTGTTACTGGTTTGATTATAGTGACATTTGTACTCCTATGGATTGTTGTCATACTTACCACCAGGCCACCTTGACACGGGAAACAGGGAAACAAGCAGTCCCAAGGACAGAAACACAGCTGACAGGCTATTGCATTAGTATAAGCTTATCTGAACTGAAAGGAGCTTCACACATCCCCCTCCTTGACACCTCCCTCCTGCACAACTAAGCTGTAGTCACGTGTGGGGCTGAAGAAGTGGTGGTGAGCATAGATGCCAGCACCAATAAGCAGCATGGAGAGCGCCAGCACTGCCAGCAGCGCCGTCCACCCCGTCAGCACTACGCTGCCCGCCTCCCCCTGTTGCTGCTGCTGCTCCAACGCCCCCAGCTGCACGTTCAGAGCATTGGGCAGTACAGGAGAAATGCAAGTGCGGGCGTGGAGAAGAGAGGAAGGGGCAAAGGTGGGGAGCAATGGCGAGGTGGGACAGTGAGGCAGAAATGATAGTACCAGGAGCTGGGATGATGCAGACGCTCACAGACACAATGTGATGACTTGCAAGTGGCATGCAGCACATGGCAGAGCGTAATGGGGTGAATGCCACCTCACCTCACGTCCACTGGTCAGAGCGTCTTTGCAACCCGTGCGGGCCGTGCCAACATCACCTGTGCAATCTGTGCAACCTGCACCAGCGTCACCTGCACCAGCCTCATCACCTGAGCAATCTCAGCGAGAGTGGCTTCGAGGCGGGCCTCATCCACGACCCCGCCCACATGTGCGCCCGCCACGCCCACCACGGCGACCAGCTGACGGCACGACTCGCTGCTCAGCTTGGCCAAGGGCTGGTCCACCAGGCACTGCCCCACCGCCGCCACCACCACTCCCGCCGCCGCATGCAAGGCAGAGCTGGTGGAGGTGGCGTTGGGGCAGAGGGCGGCGACGTCAGCTGCGCACGGCATGGTGAGGTTGTTGGCGGGGTGGTACACCCACAGCGCCATGCGCACCAGGTATGCCACCTGCACCAACACACCACATGCACCCGCAAAGAGACGCAGCAGAATTGGGGGCAAGGGAGGGGAGATGGAGGCGAGGCGGAATTGTGAGCTGATGTTCCTCCCACAGCTTTGAGAGAACAGCGGGTACACACAATCCTCACCCCATCTCCTCACTGATTCACCTCCTGTAAGTAACCCATGGCATCTCGCTCGCTCTCTCTCCCCCCACCGCACCTCGGTCTGGCATTTCCCCGAAAGCCCATCGTAGTGCTGCACCAGGCACGCTATCACCTCCCCGTCGCCGTCCGCCGTGCTGTTGGCCGCCGCGCTGCATGTCTTGGCAATGTCCACCTGGCACTGCAGCGCCAGCGCCACGTCAGCAAGGTAGAACTGTGACTCGCGCACCGTCTGCAGTGCCACCTCAGAGCGACACGCCACCCCCATGCTCTCCTGGAAACGGCAGCATGGGCAGGGGGAAGTGACCAACGAATGAACAGGGAGAGGCGATCGGAATTACGAAGCAAGTGAAACTGCCACAGCAAGAGCAGCGGTGGTGGCAGAAAGGCAGTGGTGCGGACACAAGAGAGAGGTGGTGGCACCACTGCATCCGCTGCTGTGCCAGCATGAGCTGCACAGCATCACCTGCTGCCATCACACCACCTCACCTGGCCCAGGCTGGTCTGCAGGCAGCGGAACGCCTTGCCCTCGCTGGGCGGCACGCCGCGGCAGAAGGCATGTAGCTCGAGCCCACAGGCGTTCATGAGCGAGGGCGTGAGGCGGATGTCCGATGCCTCCATGGCTGAGAACCTCAGCTCCTCGTCCCGGCACTCCGGCTTCAGCTGTGCGCGGTGCTGGCGCAGGCACGACAGCACCTTGCTGTGGTCGCGCTGCAGCCCGCACAGCGCTCCGATGTCGTCCACACAGGCGCGCTGCAGCGGCACGTCAAGCATGATATCGCCCACCTCGCGCCGCTCAAAGTACGCCACCTCCTCCCTGCACTCGGGGCTGCTGATGAGCGACGCGTTGGCCGCGAGGCACTGCAACACGCGGCCGCCACACTGGTCGCCCGAGGGGGCAGCAGCGGCGGTGAAGGAGTCGTTCCTGGGCTCGCACGAGTGCATGCACAGGCGCTGCACGTCACTGAAGCATGCGCGGTTCAACTTGTAGTTCAGCCGGAAGTCTGAAGGAGGGAGTGGGGTTGGGGGGAGGGAGGTGTGGGGGGGTGGAGAGATGCGGTGTGAAGGGCTGACGGGTCAAGAAAAGGCTGGTTGGTTGGTGAAGGGTTGTTTGATGGCATGTGCATGTGGTGGCATGCATGCTATGGATGTGTCATGTGGATGGAATGTTGCAGCATGTGCACAGCATAGCATGCACATTCACTGACCATGAGCGCTGCGCTCCTCGTCCTTCTTGACCTCCTTCTTGCACTGCTCGCCCATGTCCTCGTCCTCCTCGTGCTTCTGTAGACATGCTATCGTGTCACCCCCACCTGGCGGGCGCCACCAACACCACCACACAGATAAGTGGAAACGGGCAGAGGTGAGGCGGCAACACAGCAGCAGCACTTCACCATGCACCACGCACCTGCAGACTCCATGCGTTGTCATGCATTGCACTGCCCTCTCACCTCAGCCCCTCCTTACTCGCTCTATCCTCTGTGCATGACACCCCCCATCCCATCCATCAGAGAAAGATTCCCTGTCCACATTGCACCCACTCTCCTGCGAAGCCCATGCCCTCCTTGCCTACACGTGGCGGTGCCCGCACCCACCGTGTTGGTCCTTGCAGAGGCGCAGCAGCTCGTCCTGGCACGCCTGGCGCATGGGGAACTTGAAGTCGATGTCCTCCGCGTACCGGATCTCCTGCTCGCCCAAGCCCAACGGGGGGAGGGGCGGGTGGGTAGGGGTTGGGGAGGGGGGGAGGCGGGAGCGAATCGTGGTATGTAAGTCCGCATGTTCATGTGCCGCCTCAAATTGGAATGCTGAACCAATGAATTCTGGTTCCCAATGGCAGCGTTTGATTTGATGTCCAAGGATTTGAAGGGGTGAAAGGAGGGCAGCTGACCTGCTCAAAGAGAGCGGTGCGGCAGACAGGTTTGAGCTTCTGGCGGTTCTCCTGCAGGCACATGAACACCCGCGCGTTGCCGTCCGGCACCCCCGCACACACCACCTCGCGGTCCTCTGCACACCGTGCATGTGCATGGAGTGAACGGGTGAGATGTGGACGAAGGAGGGGCAGAGGGCAGTTGCGGCAAGGCAAGAGGGGCAGAGGGCGTTTGAGGAGGCGAACAAGGGAGGGGGGGTTGCAGATGGAGGCAAGGAAGAGGCCATCATTGTCCCGCATCGCCTGCGAGAGCACAACCCCACCCACATCAACCCCTCTCGTCCCACCCACCCCGCCTCTTCCCCTCTTCCCGCCCTGCCCCTCACCCTGACACATGTGCTGCAGCATGCACCTTCGTAGCGAGCACAGCCCACCCACGCGAGTGCAGCGCTCACCCTGGCAGGCCTGCTGCAGAGGGTGGTCGAAGCGCATGTCCTCAGCGGCGCGCTGTGTGAGCAGGTGCACTTGCTGGCGGCACCGCGGGTCCTTGAGCTCCCGCCGGTAGTCCTGCAGGCACTCTATCACACGGCTGTCCCATGATGCCACGTCGCTTATGTCGTCCGCATCCGGGTAGCACGTCTGGTTGGGGGTAGAGGAGGCGGGATGGAAGGGAGCGAGAGGGAATGGAAGGGGCACAGCATAGGGACGAAGAGCAAAAGGGAAGTGCGCACTAGCTTGACAGAGAGGCAGGGGCAGCTGAGAACGCTGAGAGGACTTCCAGGGCACATCTGCTGCCTTTCCATTGCTCTGCCATGCCCTCCCATTCCGCTGCCATGCCCTCCCAATGCCCTGCCATGCCAATGCCATTACCCCCTGCCATGCCCCCCCCCCAGCTCCTGACCTCGACAATGTCACGGTGGCAGTACTTGCGCAGCCCGGGGTCAAGGCGGAAGTCCGACGCGCGGTGCTCCATCATCCTCTCCACCTCCTCCTTGCTGCCATGCCATGCCATGCCATGCCATGCCCCCATGCACGCACAGGGATGAGAGTAGCAACAAAGCCATGCATGAGCGCGTGCATACACGCACACATGACACACGTGCACTCATCCATGAGCAACGGATGGCACGGCCAAGGAAGATGGCGCGTGCAGGAGGACAGGGAAAGACCTTGCACAGGTGCAACACTCATCATCATGATATAATTGCCGCAACACTCTTGCGGCGGTGATTGCCGCTGCTGGCTCTGCACAGGTGCAACAGTCACAGTGGCAGCCCACACATGCAGCACCCCCACGTGCGCACCAGGGTGTGGAGAAGTCGGAGTCACGGCGATGTGCCTCCAGGCAGTCCTTCACGCGTGCATCCCCCGGCACCACGTCCGCACAGAACCGCCTCTTGTCCTCCAGACACGCTGCTCCCATGTGTGCCACACAGGAGGAATTGGGGGGAGGGGAATGGGGGGGAGTGAATGGTGAGTGGAGGGAGTTGGCAGGAAGGGGCGTGTGTGTGGTAGCCGGGTTGACAGGCAGAGTAGTGTGGGGCATGGCTGATGGAGTGAGGGGCGAGGGGCAGGAGGCACCTTTGAAGAGGCGAACGTTGAGGCGGATGTCATCGGCGTTCTCCACCTCCTGGCGGAACAGCTCCGCCTGACAGTCCCAGTTCACACTGCTGCGGTGCTGCCGCTGCTCACCATGGCGTGTTGGGGGGAGGTGAATCGGAGGGGGAGGGGAGAGGACGCGGTAGGAGGTTGTAGGGGCAGGTGCAGGACTTTCAGGTAAAAAAGCCGCGTCCCCCTCTAGCCGTAACACACTAACGATTGCACGAGCCACTCCCTCTATCCGCAACGCAACGGCCCAGCCCTACCCCCCCCCAACGCACCAAGCAGTCCTGCACGCGGCCTTCCCCCGGGGCGACGTCCTTGCAGAGGCGGGCGGCGTCGTTGGAGCAGAGGGCGTGCAGCTGCGGGTCCATGCGGAAGTCCCCCGCCGCATCCTCCTCCGCCTCCAACACCGCCTCCCCACACCCGTCCGACAGCTTCCCCGCCCCCCGCGTCTCCCTGTGAGCGGCGTGAGGGCGGGAGGGTGCAGGGAGGAAGAGGGGATGGGCGGATGAGAGAGGGGTGTTGTGGGGAAGTAGAGATGGGTGGGCAGAGCAAGGGACGATGGGAGAATGGCAGACGTTGAGATGGCATGGCGCACCTGGAATGGCACCGGGCCCGTGGCCTCTTGCACCTGATGCCAGCGAGCATGATACCTGGGGCATGCAAGCGGAGCGGGTACCTGAGGCATGCAAGCGAGCATGATACCTGAGGCATGCCAGCGAGCATGATACCTGAGGCATGCCAGCGAGCATGATACCTGAGGCATGCCAGCGAGCATGATACCTGAGGCAGGCATGCGGGCTCGGTGCACCTGAGGCAGGCGAGGACGTTGCCGGGTTCGGGGTAGAGGAAGCCGTCGTTGCAATACTGCTGTATGTCTCCCCTGCACGCCTCCGCTACCATCCATGGGGAAAGGGCAGTGCGCGCAGGGGCGAAGGGCGGGAGGGCAGCGGCGAGAGAGGCAATGAGGGGGGAAAGAGTGGAGAGGCAAGAGCCAAGGCTGGTTTGTGGAGTGTGGGGTGCAGTGCGGTGTGTGGAGGCGGGAGGCGTTATGAGAGGGTGAGAGGGAGAGGGACTGACCCATGTCGTTGTTGAGGGAGATGTTCTTGTACAGCTCTATCTTGAACTGGTATACCTCCTGTAGACATCCGGGCGATATGCTCCCTGCCCCTGCTCACATGCACCCGTGCGTGCACACAGACACACACACACAAACACACACACACACAAACACACACACACACACACACACACACACACACACACACACACACACACACACACACACACACACACACACACAGACAGACACACACAAACAGTATGACACACACAAACAGTATGACACACACAAACAGTATGACACACACAAACAGTATGACACACACAAACAGTATGACACACACAAACAGTATGACACACACAAACAGTATGACACACACAAACAGTATGACACACACAAACAGTATGACACACACAACCAGTATGACACACGGCGTCGGGGGGCTGTAAGCAAGCATGCTGTGAGCAAGCAACGGCACACACGCGCGGCACACACGCGCGGCACACACGCGCGGCACACACGCGCGGCACACACGCGCGGCACACAGAGCACAGCGCCGCAGCTCGAAAGGCCATCCTCACGCTTCTTCATGGAGTTTGTTTCGTTATCCTAAACAACACGAGTTGATGGAAGTAAGGCCTCCGCAGCCCACCTGTCCTCTCTTGACAGCTCGAAAGGCCATCCTCACGCTTCTTCTCCTCTACCCCCATCCCATTCCCTCACTATCCCCTCGCAACAACCAGCCCGCACTCCCCATCGTCCCCCTCTCCCCTCCCTTCTCGCCCCTCGCCTCCCCCCAACCTCCCCCTGTCCCCCGAGCGGCGCACCTTGTCCGCCCTTGGATTTGAGCAGCTGCACCTGCCCCGTCAGGCACCTCTCCACCGTCCGATTGCCCACCGTCAGATCGCCGCAGAACTCCGCGATCTCCTTCTTGCACGCTCCTGGCGTGGCGGGCGCAGCGGCGCACGAGGGGCGAGGGAGGGGCGAGAGGGAGAGCGACCTCATGGTGTGAGTGAGACAGAGAGATGCACAGCATGCAGGGAGGCGCCAGTGAGCAGTCGCGTGGATGCAGTCCCGAGGGGATTCACTCGCTCATTGCCCGCACTTCCCGCACTGCCCGCACTTCCCGCACTGCCCGCACTGCACAATTCCCGCACTGCCCGCACTGCACGCTGCCTGAACCTAAGCGACGCGGAACGCAACCCCCACCGTCGGGCACAATGTCGGATGCCGCCTTCTCCGCCTGCGCTATCGCCGGCGGGATCGGGCTCTGCGCCTCCTCCTCCGCGCCCTTATCCCCCTCGCGCGCCGTCGCCGCCTCCTCCGCCGCCTTCTCCGCGGCCTCGTCCTTGGCCGCCGCGCTCTCCGCTGCTTTCGCCACCGCCTCCGCTGTCGCCCTCGCGGATTCCGCCGCCGCTGCTGCCGCCGCTTCTTCCGCTGAGACGTTGGCGGAGTCGGCGGAGTGAACCGCGCAGGGCAGCAGCGCGAGGAGCACGGAGGCCGCCACCAGGCACAGCAGCACCCGCGACGCCTTCGCCTGAGGGTGGGAAAGGCAGAGTGTGGATGGGGAGGGGATTGCACGACATAGACTTCGTTGCCACCATTCTCATTACTACTCATTGAAAAAAACACTATTACTACTCATTGCTGGTTTTCAAACCATCAGTGAACACTGTAGCCACACTGACCATTGGGAATGGATTCACGGCACGTGGTTGCGCCGGATTCAGTAACTAGACTTCAGACCATGCACCCGCTATTTAGTTCGTCGAGGGTTGGGTCAAACGACCTAAGACTTGGCTGCGCAGAGACGAACGTTCTCGTATCGGGATCACTGATGCACTGACAACTTGAACGGAAGTCAATCGGGTACAGCAGCAGGTCATGGGGGAAAAGCATCACCTCTCCTCCCACCAACCAGCTGGCTGTAGTGAACAATGTCTGATACACTACTAGATTATGTACGAAATCCCCTATGCTGTTAAAAAAAAACTCCTCTCCTAGCACCTGACAGGCTCCGTTGTCAAGATGGATTTTAAACACTAGCCTAGTAAAACCACTAGCCTATTAGAACTATTGACTAGGATAAATACTTGAATGCAAAACCAATTTTTTTTGTTTTCATTTGCCAGTATTATAGTGAGACTTTGAAAGCCTGATGTCGGAACACTTTGTCCGCACCAAGGCCTCGAGAAATTACCGAGTCGAATTGCACTCTTGGCTGCACCTCCGCAGTTCTCGGCCCCGAGAGGCACGAACCTGAGTGACCGGCGTTGCGCAATTTCTGGACCACCATATCTCGCCGGGAGCCGTCAGATTTCGTGCGTTGAACGGCTTACGATTACGCTTGCCCCACGCGTCACCGTCACTCCTTGCGCTGCAACCACAGCCACATTTCACCAAACCACTCCCCCGACTCTCGGAAATTCGCCCCCCATCGCCCTCCCCTCCACACTCACTCGCACCAACTAACCCCTTCCCCGCCAAACCTGACCAACCCTGCTTTGCCCATTGCGTTCCGAACCATGTGCCGCCGCGTCCGCAGAGCTGCTGTCGTTTTAGGTTATACATAAACGCTTTCCAGTTATCCATTTGTCGTAAGTCTGGTTGATTGGGGCTGCCGATCGTCCTTGCCAGCAGCAGCTTTTCAGTGAGATTGAACCAGCCACTGGTGGCGAGTAGTTAGGCAAACTCTACTCTCAAGTCAGCCATTGCTAGACCGGGGCTTTTGCAGCAGCCTAATTGTCGTTCCCCACCTCTCCATACCACTATCTTTGTGCTTGCCCGCTCGCGCTAATCGCTCCTCCAATGGGGTGCGGAAACGCCACGAGCCTAGACACCTCCAAGCCGCCGAACCTCGTAATGGCTCGGCACGGCGTGTGGCTCGGCACGGCGTTCGGCTCGGAGACGGAGCGGGACAAGGGGTCCATTGTGGGCGGCGCGGCTCTGCGCAGCGCGTCTAGAGGTTGCCGCGTGCAGTGGGACCGCGGCCAGCGCGTGCCGCACAGGGAGCTGGAGGTCGCGAAGCGGGAACTGCGACCGTTGCTGAACGCGCTGCGGTTCATCGAGTCCAGCAACAGGTAGGGCCGCGCAGCGCGCCGTCGCCCCTCGGTAGATTATGCAGCTGCGCCTCGGATCGCCACCCCATGTCTATCCAATCGTGTCATTCTGCGCTTCTCCCTCTGACCCCGCCGCCGTCGCCCCTCGCCCCTCGCCCCTCGCCCCCTCGCCCCCTCGCCCCTCGCCCCCTCGCAGGGTGAACTGCCCGGACGGCGACGCGGGAAGCAGCATCGGCCCGCTGCAGATCTCGGAGGAGTATCACCGCGACGCGTGGGGCCACCGTGCCGGCCGCTGGACGGCGTGTCGCGAGCTGGCGCACGCGGAGGACACGGTGGTGCGGTACTGGCTGCGCTACTGCCCCGGCGCCATCCGCGCGCACGACTGGGAGCTCCTCGCCAAGTTCCACAACGGTGCGCGCCGAGCCCCTTCCACCACACTACTCTAATCGTATCGTGCCCTGACGTACTCTTGATACCCTGTTTGTCGTGATTTAACTGGTTTCCCGACCTGTTTCTCCCTGCGTTCCTGTCGTAACCTCTTCCGCAATTGATCCTCCTTTCCCCCATCCCTCCTGCGCAGGTGGGCCGCGGGGCACGAAGCACAGCAAGACGCGCGCGTACTGGCGGAAGGTGGTGCGCCACCTCGCCGCGCAGCAGCCGCTCGGACTTTCCGGGGACGTTCCCCACATCCCGCCGCAGCTTCCTGGGACCTTCCGCGCGGAGGGCCTTGCAGCGGAGTGCTCTGCGTCCTCCGCCGCTTCTGGCGGTGGCGCCGGACTAACGGTTTCCGCGGTCGCGCATCGTAAGCAGCAGCAGTCGCTGCAGCAGGTGACAGAAACGAAATGTTCTGTTAACGAAGGGAGTCAGCAGATAGTGGTTGACGAATCAGATCAGCGCGCAGACGTGGCGACGGGAGGGAGAGTGAGACCTCGGCGCGGCCATCGTCGCCCCCAGCAGGCGCTGCGCGCAGTGCCGTGGCGCTCCCCCGCGTCCGCTGCCCCCGCTCCCCCGTCCCCCTCACTTGAGTCCGCCGCCCACGGCGCCGCCCTCGCTGCCCTCTCCGCCCTCCCATTTCTCAATACGATGGCTTTGGATGGCGATGCTGACGTTGCGCATCCTGCGGACGAGTTGTGTGGATTAACGGAGTGCGCTTCTCCTGTCGCCTCCCCAGCCCGTGCCACCCGCTCCGCTACCGCTCCCCCTGCTGCTACGCCAACAGCTGTGGCAGGGTGCACGCAAACCCCCACACCCCAACCGCAGTGCCCGTGTGCCAAGGAGGGCGCGTGCGGGGACACGGAGGGCGCAGCAGAGGAGGGGTGCGTGGCGGAGGCGCGCGCGGGGGCGGGGTGGCTGCTGTGGGACTCTGACTTGGCGTGGACGGTGGAGCACCACGAAGACTTCTTCACTCCCGCTGCCAGCCTGGACGTGCAGGATTCAGTCAGGGAGCACCGAGGTGCCGCCGTTGCTGCTGACGTGGCGGATAAGCTTGCCAGCTTGGACATTGGGAAGCTGGTGCATGGGATGAAGAGAGGTTCAGGGAGGGAGGCGGTAGCAGCAAGTAGTGACGATGTGGGCGAGCAAGCAGCGGCGGAGAGAAGCACGAAGCTAGCCCGTGGTACAAGGGAGGGCAGTGGGGACTCGGCACATGCCAGGTCAGCTGGTGGTGCTTCCAGCTCACCACTTGTCAACTCCACAGCAGCCCGTCACGCTTCCTCGAGTGAATGTGGTGAGAGGGGGAGAGCGAGCAGGGAGGCAGGCAGGGACGCACCCAGAGAGGCGAGGCAGAGGGTGGAGGCATGGCTCACACTGGTGGACGGTGGGAGATCACGAATGCGCAAGGATTCAGCGGAGGGCAAGAATGGGGCAATAAGGCCAACAGGTGGAACGTTGACAGGCAGCAGGGAAGGGGAGGCGTTGCCTAGCCCAGCAGCACTGCCGCACGCCCAGTCACTGCACTCCACGCCTGTGCCGTGGGCAGGAGCGGTGCGAGCAGTGCAGGCAGCGCAGGGGGCACTAGGAGCACAGGGCGCACGGGCAGCACGACCAGCATGGGCAGCACGGCATGGAGCATGGCACGCGGCGGCAGGGCCGAGTGCAGCAGACAAGGTGGAGGCCTGGGTGCATGCCCATGGCTCTCGTGGTACTTCTGGTGGCGCTGCTGCTGCATCGCCCACTCTCATATGCTAACCGGTGGTGGTGACTGATAAGTTTCTGATGCTCACAAAGAGTTAACGCTAACTCTTGTTGCTGTGCTAGTTAGGTGTATTGCTAACTGCTTTGTTGTGATAACGCTAACTTACCATAGCCTGACAAGGCTAACTTGTGATAGGTAGGCTTACTTCGTTAGCTTCAAGCAGTAGAGCTAGCTGTAGTCCTGACTTATGTTGGGCTGATGTGTTGATAGCAGTATTAGTACTGTATACTCTTTAATGAATGATGAAGCATCATACTGTATGAATGTCACATGACAATACCAAGGCTGCAGGTTGATGCTGAAGAAGCAAAACAAAATTGTAAGGTACGGTAGAATGCCCTACCTAGACAGTATTTGGAACACAGAATCAACGGGTTATGCGGTGGTGAATATGTACGAAGTGCACTGTAGGAATGAAACCACGAACTAGTAGAGCCTGTAATAGAATCTGCTAAAAGGGCTGCCAAATTGAGAGCAGACCACACACGAGCAAGGGCTGTCTGCACATGCTTCAACACGCCCCGCACACAAGACACACACACACACACGCAGGTGCACCACCTCACATGTGGATGGGCTTGCCATGCGTGGCCAGCGCTGCCTCCTTGACAGCCTCACTGAGCGTGGGGTGGCCGTGGCACGTGCGGGCGATGTCCTCACTGCTGGCGCCATACTCCATGGCCAACACACACTCCATGATCAGCTCGCCCGCACTCGGCCCCACTATGTGCACGCCCACCACCTTATCTGTCGCCTTCTCCGCTATGATCTTCACCATCCCCTCCGAGTCCCCAATCGTGCGCGCGCGGCTGTTTGCCATGAAGGGGAACTTCCCCACGCGGTACTCTACACCCGACTCCTTCACCTCCTCCTCGGTCTTACCCACCATGGCCACCTCCGGGTGCGTGTAAATAATCCCGGGCACCGTCGCGTAGTTCACATGCCCGTGCTTCCCTGCCAAATTCTCCACGCACGCAATGCCATCCTCCTCCGCCTTGTGCGCCAGCATGGGGCCGGGAATGGCGTCCCCGATGGCAAACACACTCGGCACGGAGGAGCGGAACTTGTCGTCCACCACGATGCGCCCCGCCTTGTCCTTCTGCACACCCACCTCCTCCAGTCCCAGCCCGTCCGTGTACGGCACGCGCCCCGTCGCCACCAGCACCACATCCGCCTCTAGCTTGGTTTTCTCGCCGCCCTTGGCCGGCTCTACCTCCAGCACCACGCCGTTGCCCGACGCGTCCGCAGAGACGACTTTCGTGGAGAGCATGAACTTAAAGCCCTGCTTCTGCAGGGTGCGCTGGAAGGTGCGGCGGATCTCGTTGTCCATGTAGCCGCCGATGCCGTCCATGAACTCCACCACCGTCACCTGCGCGCCCAGCCGCCCCCACACCGACCCCAGCTCCAGTCCAATCACTCCCCCGCCCACCACCACCAGCTTCTTCGGCACGGCGTCCAGGCTCAGCGCGCCCGTGGACGACACCACCTTCTTCTCGTCGATCTGCAGCCCCGGCAGCGGGCGCACGTCGGACCCGGTGGCGATGATGATGTTCTTGGCACCAATGCTCTTGGTCTCCCCGGGGGAGTCCAGCAGGGACACAGCCACCTCGTTCGGGCCGACAATCTTACCGTGGCCTTTCACATAGGTGACCTTGTTCTTCTTGAACAGCCCCTCAATGCCCTTGGTGAGCCCCGCGACAGCGCCGGTCTTCTGCGCCATCATGGCCGGTAAGTCCACCTCCAACCCCGCCACCTTGACGCCGTGCGCCGCGAACGAGTGCTTCGCCTCGTGGTACATGTGCGATGACTCCAGTAGCGCCTGGTGGGGAGGAAGGAAGGGAGCAGTAAGGACGAGGGGCCAAGGTAAGGCGGACAGTCATGGAGTGCTTTGCCTTGCAGTGCATGGGGATGGGAAGGAACGGGAGGAGGAGCGTAGCGGGAAGAGAGAGGAACGACAGAGTCCCAAGTACTGAAAGGTTGGCCACTTGACTGAGAGCGCGAAAGGGAGATCGGTGCACGGATTGATGGTTGCATAGGTGCACGAGAGAAGGGCCCGGGTGCATGGAAGCATGAGTGCACAAGAGCACGGGTGCATGAGAGCATGGGTGCATGGGAGCACGGGTGCACGGGAGCATGGATGCATGGGAGCATGAAGCATGGGTGCATGAGAGCATGAGAGCATGGGTGCATGGGTGCATGGGAGCATGGGAGCATGGGAGCATGGGTGCGTGGGAGCATGGATGCGTGGTGCATGAGAGCATGGGTGCATGGGAGTATGGGTGCATGGGAGCATGGGTGCATGGGAGCATGGGTGCGTGGGAGCATGGATGCATGGGTGCATGAGAGCATGGGTGCATGGGTGCATGGGAGCATGGGTACGTGGGAGCATGGATGCATGGGTGCATGGGAGCATGGATGCATGGATGCATGAGAGCATGGGAGCATGGGCGCATGGGAGCATAGTGCATGGGAGCATGGGTGCATGGGAGCATAGTGCATGGGAGCATGGGTGCATGGGAACATGGTGCATGGGAGCAGCGTATGGAAGCACGGTCGCCTGACTACACGGGAACACGGGTGCACGGTTGCACAGGTGCGTGCATGCGTGCATGGGGCGAATGCGGGACAGCTTGAGATGCCTTCAGCGAGGAAAAGTTGGGCTGATGGGAGGCACAACGGAGAACGGCGATGCACTGCATTCATCTGCGCGTTACACTATATCGTGGCCTGCCTCCACTGCATATCTCATAGCCCTTGTTTGATTTCTCCCACATTTATATTCTCCCAACCGTGAAATTCCCGTCAGTCGCCGGCTGGTAGACAACCCTAGCGGATACCACCACCCGTTATCGTTGCTTACCTTGGATGGAATGCACCCCACGTTCAGGCACGTGCCGCCCAGCGCGCCGCGCTTCTCCACGCAAGTGACCTTCATGCCCAGCTGCGCCGCTTTGATCGCCGCCACGTACCCACCGGGCCCGCCGCCAATGACGACGATGTCGTTCTCCTCGGGGCTCGTCGCGAACCACCGCACGCCGCCGAACGCGCGCAGGGCTCCTGTGGGCGCGTAGGAGGGGAACGCGGAGTCCGCGACGGCGGACAGGCGTCTCCGCGAGACGCGGCTGAGAATTCGGGAAGCCATGGCAGGTGACTGACGGAGGTAAATCTGTTACGGTGAAGTCGCCTATGCGAGACAGCGAGAGCCTAAGTGGGATTCAGAATAACTCCGTGGTCGCGATATTGATGACAGCGGCGATAGCGACGCCTAAGATCTTCCTCCCCGTAGCGAGGAAGCAGCCTGGTAGCAGCTGGTCGGAGGAACAGCTCCCACCAAAAAATGGAGAGATCTCGAGGTGGGGTGAGAATGGGAGAGGTGAAATGCAGAACCGAATTTCGAAGGCAGAATCTATAGCTCTTGGCGGGCGGTTGGGTCGGGGAGAAAGGGCGTGCGCGGGGAACGGGATTGCGCTCTGAACATTGGGATCTCCGCCAGATCACCTGTGAAATGGCAGCAGCAGGTTCATTTCCCCGCGAGGATTGCTTGGCTTGGCGAGACATGGTACCACGTCATCGTTGGAGTTGGGTGACACGAACAGAACCAGCCAACCAGGCCTTTTCCCCGACGTGCGCCCTCCGCCACCATGGTTTCCGCCCAGGTTCCGCCAGTTCATGCACAGGGCATTCGGGCGGGATGAATGCAGGCACCTCCATGAATAGCTCTGAAATGTACATTCAAATTCGTGCAATGCGGTGTAGAATTCTCATCATTTTTATGTCTCCCAGGAGGAGTCTCCACATCCATGTCGCGTACGGAATGTTCGCATTTGCTGTTGTGTTTGCTCTTGCTCTCGGCCAAATGTCATCATAATCGCGCCTCATTGCGCATGCACACCAACATAGCACGTCCTTCACGCAGCTACCTTAGGCGCCTCGATCAAGCAGCTCAACTAGCCATCTCTAGCGTTCCCTCCTTGGCAAACTTGTTCCGAAGTGATACTTCGCCGCCGCGCCGCAATGGCACTCCTGCCACCCCTCTCAGTCACCCTCATTGCTGTTCCTCAGCCGCGTTCAGATGTGCGATCTGCTGCGCGCTTATCACAAACTCCTGTGGTTTCCCATCCCTCGTATACCTTCACATGCGCGATCAGATCGACGCTTGCTACTAGCTTTGCGCGTTTATGTCGGGTGCAATCCTCGCCGCCCTCCACACAGTGCTGCTTCCCGCCTGCCGCGCCTCCCTCGCGCGCACTTCTTTCACTTCCACAAACACTGCCTCATTGCAGCTCCTGCGCGGTATTTCGCATCTGCAATCCGCGTTCCCGTTCATCCAGACGCCATCGCAGCGCGAGCAACAGTCGGTTCCTACGAGTAGTACAATCCAGGACTCATTCCGCGCGGCCACTAGTCGGAGCCATTCGCCCGCCACTCTCACTCAAGCCGTTTTCCAGTTCCATCGGGCCGTTGCAGCCATGGCGGGCATGCGCCCCGCAGCGCACTCGGAGCGCGAGCAGCAGGAGGCGGAGCCGCTGCCGGGGCTGAGGCGCACCGTGTGGGGGCAGCTGGACCTCAAGCCGCGCTTCCCCAAGCTCGAGTCGCACGTGCACGCTGACGTGGCGGTGATTGGCGGCGGGATCGCGGGGCTGAGCATCGCGTACCAGCTACAGCGCAAGGGGAAGTCGACCGTGCTGCTGGAGCGCCGCTGCATTGGTCAGACTCCGTCCCCACCCGTTTTGCTGCAACACTAAATTGGTTCTAAATATATGCTTGAATTCTGTTCACATGTGCGCTTGGGGTGTGGGGTGATGGGAAGCTGTTATTAGTAAACAGGTGGGCTGCGGAGGTCTGACGTCCATCAACTTGGATGTTATTAAGACGGGGTGTGGGTGAAGGAATCTATTAGAGAGCGTAGCGATAACGAGAGAGTTTCTGCTATGGGACTGATGTTGCGCCAGCAACTTGGTAGAGTTTCGGTAGCATTTGCCTCTAAGGACTTGGTGAGAATTGAAGTAGCATTTTGGACTTCACTAGGAACATATAAAATTATATCAAACACACAAGCAACACAAACATATATAGGCAGGCGAGGGTTTCACAAGAGGTTGCGTGGGTGCTGCGAGTAACCCAACCCCACGAAAGTGGTGTGTGGGTGAGCGAACGCGCCTCGCCAATTTCCCAACCCAACTCAGCATCGACTTCTCGCTTCCGTGCACACCACTCCACCAACACCGCAAGGAGTGGTGCGACTCTCAAGGAAGCACCAACGACTCCCACGGACTCTCGCTTCTTCATGCGAACTTCTGCGCAGTTGCACATAGTCACACGTAGCCACACCCGACCTCCACCGAACTCATTCGTCGGAGCCGAGTAGACTCAGTCGTTAGGCGTCGACCTGCCAAGTCAAAGGTCATCGAGGGCCCTTGCTGTTGTAGGGCCCTCTAACACTCCCCTGCCATACTACAGCAAGGCCCTTTATAATCACAGGGCATGCATACACACGTACACGCCAAAACAAAGGGAAACACACACAAACGAAGCACTCTCAAAGTGCAAACACGCACCGCACCAGCCATGGATAGGCCATGGCACCATCCACATCATGGAGTGTTTAGGTCTCACCCCCCTCACTCGAAAGCCTCACCTGCCCCACAACCCCAAAGCAACGACTGAAGGTGGGGAAATGCAAAGCCTTCGTGAGGTAGTCAGCAGGCTGCTCGCTCGTAGGGATGTACTGCAACTGCAGCTTCCTGCGCTTGACCATGTGCTGCAGCCACATGTGGCGACGCTCCATGTGCTTGAGGCTCCCCTTGAGCCCCATGCCACCTACCACTGAAATGGCGGAGGAGTTGTCCACAAAGAGAGTAGTGGGTTTCTCACTCCTCAGCAGTTGAAACTCTGCCAGCAGGAAGCGCAGCCTGCGCGCCTCCTTCCCAGCCTCCACAGCAGCAACATACTCAGACTCAGTGGAGGAGAGGGTGGCGCAATGAATCCTCTGGCTTGCCCATGAGATAGCAGCACCCCCGAGCACGAAGACATAGCCACCTGTGGTGGTCCTGTTCTGCTTGTCCCCTGCATCATCAGCATCGGCGTAGCCCACCAGCTCCAAGGACTCCGGCCCACCACCAAACTCCAGCGCCACATCCCTGCTCCCCACCAAGTACGTCAAGCACCGGTCCAACTCCTTCCAGTGCTGATCACTCCGCACAGTCTGGCCCGACCCCAGCTTGCTGCAGGCGAACGAGATGTCGGGACGGGTGGTACAGGCCGCGAACTGCAAGGATCCCACCTTCTGCCTATACTCCTCCTCCTGGCGAGACTGCCATCCCACATCCTCGAAGGTCTGCACACTGAAAGGGTCAGAGGAAAGAGGGGTGCGAGGCACTCGCAGCGGCTGCTCCCCGTCAAAGAAGCGCCTATGGACCTTGTCCACATAGGCCCCCTGGTGCAGCCACAGCCTTCTCGTGGGCCTGTCCCGAATCAGCTGCAACCCCAGATATTTCTCCACAGGGCTAATCTCCCGCAGCTGAAACGCACTCTGCAGCAGCTCACGCAGCTCCCCAAGCATGCTCTGACTGCGGCTGGCAGCAAGTAGGTCATCCACATACACCAGCAGCCAGCACATCTCCCCATCAGCATCAGTTTTGAAGTACAGAGCCTCATCCACCTTGCTCTTCTTCCATCCAGCCCCAAGCAGCACCCCATCCAAGGCCTCATACCATAGCATCGGGCTCTGCTTGAGCCCATACAGACTTTTCACCAACTTACAGACACGAGGAGTCCCATCCTCGTAGTAGCTCGGCTGCTCCATATAAAGGTCTCGGTCCAACACGCCATGGAGGAACGCATTCTTTACATCGAGTTGCATCAGGTCCAAATCAAGTGCAGCTGCAATCGCCAGAAGCACACGCGCCGTCACATAGCTTCCCACAGGGGCGTACGTCTCCTCATAGTCCACCCCTGCCACCTGCGTGAACCCCTTCACCACCAGCCTCGCCTTCTCACGCTCCACTATCCCATCGTGTCGGAACTTGGTATTCAAAATCCAGCGGTTCTTCATCACATTCACCCCTGGCGGACGCGGAACCAACTCCCACGTCCCCTGGTCAATCAAGCTCCGCATCTCTTCATCCATCGCCTCTTTCACCTTGTCGCCCTTCCAGCAGCCCAAGGCCTCCTTCACTGTCATTTTCGCTATGTCCCACTGCCTCTCAGGATCAGCTGCAACGTCCGGGTCCAGGTCAGTCCACTCCTCGTCCTCCTCCTCGTCATCCAAGCCCGCTGGCTCAACCACTACAGCCCAAGCGTATCGAACAGGCGGGACACCACGAGTGATGCGAGTGGAGCGACGCACTGGTGCAGTGGTCGTCCCAGAAACCAACACACGACAACCATCTCTAATTCCCCACATCTCCTGCTCCCCTGTCTGCGGTTCCCCTGTCTGCTGCTCCCCTAGCTGCTGGTCCACCATCTGCTGCTCCTCAATCCGCTCCTCCCCTATCTGCTGCTCCCCACTCTGCTGCTCCCCTATCTGCTGCTCCCCAATCTGCTGCTCCCCTGTCTGCTGTACTCCATCCATACTGCTCTCGTCCTGCAGCTGCTCAGTCTCAAGGCGCTGCCCGTCGGTGATCTCCACAGACGGTGGCACCTCCATCCCCCCCCCACCAACGGGCGGCGCCATGGAAGACGAAGAGGAGGGAGGAGCAGGTGCAGGAGGGATGGAGGGTGGAAGGGGAGATGGAATACCAGGAGGACTAGGGGAAGCCAAGGGGGGTGAGGAGGAAGAAGGCGGAGAGACTGAAGGCGGAGGAGGGGTGGGGACCGAGGTAGGGACATAGGGCATAGCAGGAGGTGCGACCACCTCCTCCTCCTCCTCCGCCTCCTCGAGAGTGATCGGGAAGAGTGAGGGAAGGGGCTCATAGGGCATCGAACGCCCCCCATGCTCCTGCTGATGCCAAGCTTTCCATCCTGCTAGGGACATGGTCTCATAGAACACAGCTTCCACAGTGGTGATGAGGCGGTTGGACTCCAAGTCCAGCACGGTCCAGCCTTTGCTCGCAGCTGACACACCCAAGTGCAACCCCCAGCGAGCCTTAGGCGCCAGCTTCCCCCCACGCTGCGACCGTGGTACCATGTACTGCAGCATGCAGCCCCAAACACGCACCATACTGACATCAGGTTTGCGTCGGAAGGCGAGCTCGTACGGCGTCACATCAGAGGGTAGTGAGGCGTGCTCCACGCGGTTGCGCACCCAGACGGCCTGAGCCAACGCCAGGTGCCACCAGTGATGCTACACACCCATGTGCAGCAACATCGTCCGCACCGCCTCCACAATGCTGCGCATCTCCCTCTCGGCCATCCCGTTTTGCTCTGGCGTATACGGGCATGTGAGGTCATGGATGATGCCTTTACCGTCGAGGAAGAGCGTGAAGTCGTGCCCCAGGAACTCGCCACCCCGATCAGTGCGCAGCGCCTGCACCGTGGTCTTGCACTGTCGCTCTGCCATCGGGAGCCACTTTTGGAACGCCGCCAGCGCATCACTCTTCTGGGCCAAAGGGTAGACCCAGACATATCGCGTCTTGCGATCCTTCAGCACCAAGAAGTAGCGGCTGCCGTCCTTAGCTGCTTCACGGAAAGGGCCACACAGGTCAGCATGCACCACCCCGAGCAACTCATCCTCCTCCTCTCCCACAAAAGGAAAGGTATGACGAGTGATCTTTCCCCCAACACAAGAAACACAAGGTATGCCTGACTTGCCCCCCTTCTCCAAATCCAAGCCCTTCACTGACCCGTGAGCCGCTGTGCGCTCGATGGCATCAATACCAACGTGTGCCATACGCGCATGCCACAGGTCCCCCTTAGACCGCACGCCCGTCGCCAAGGTACGAAGTGCCACCGTTTCGCCTTCCTGCTGCTGCGTCGAACACGGCTGGAAGATCGTGCAAAGAACACGCCCCTTGAACTCCGCACGACCAAGGAGCGATCCATCTGGTGCCCGCAGCAAAGTTACATCCCCGGCATCCAGCAACTGCACACCACATTCACGCAGCTGCCCAGCAGAGAGAAGACTCGCCTGCACTCCTGGTACGTACAGCACGTCCGGCACCAAGACACGCCTGCCCCCCTCTCCAAGAAGAGCGACTGTGCCCCGCCCCTGCACCTCCTGAAGCGCGCGGTTGAAGCCAGTAACCTATTTAATACTGCCGCCGCTGCTCATCTCCACAAAGGCAGAACGATCTCCCATGAGATGGTGGGAGCATCCGCTATCAAGCAGCACGACGCTCGGGTTCGCCTTCACAGCAGCTGCAACAGCCTGTAAGGCCTCCCCGCCCTCAGGCTCTAGCACAACGAGAGGGGTCTGCTCCACAACGGGCTTCACCATCGCACATGATGATTGCCCGCTCCCCTTAGAGCCATCACCCCCCTTTCCGCTGCTACCTCCAGAACCCTCTCCACCGGTGTCTGCCTCCTTATCCGCCCGCTGCTGACAGTACTTAGCAACATGCCCTATTTGTCCACACACATAGCACTTCCCTTTGAAGCCCCCTTTCCCCCCCTTCGGCTGGCCATCCTTACCCCCTTTCCACTTCTCCCCTCCCCCACTAAGCCCACCCCCATTCTTAGGTTGTTGCTGCTGTGCCGTAGTGGGAGGGGAAGGGAACGAATTCTGCTGGAATTGGGGCTTACCCTTCTTGGTAAAGACCTGGTTAGCCTGGGGAAGGAATTGGTCCTTTCGTCCCTCTGACGCCAGCGTACATTCCTCCTCGATGATGTAGCTAGCGAGGGTGTTCTCGTCCAACTCCTTGCGCACCTGCGGCAACTTCAGCATCCTGCGTAAGAGGTTGTACTGCTGCGGCAACCCCTTCACAACGTGAGTGATGTACGACGCCTGCGAGTAATCTACGCCAGCCATCCTCAGGTTCACTAGGATCTGCTGCGCACGGTTGCAATAGGACGTAGCGGACTCATGCTCTCCCATCTCGAGGTTAGTGAGCGCCTGCTCTAACCGACCGATGTACAGATCGTCCTTCGCCATGTACGTGCGCATAATAAACTGCCATGCCTGATAGCCGGCATCAACCTTCATGCGACACGCCTTAAGGGCGATCTGTACGGTTGGGGAGCAGCATCGGGAAATAGTGGTGAATGTCAGCAACTGCATCGCGCGGAACTGAGAGAGATGCGCAAGCGCACGCGCTGGTGGAATAGGGGTGGTGCCATCTATGAATCGCTTTAGCTGAGCGATCTCAAGCTGCGGCTCGATTGATTCTGTCCACGTCGACAGGTCGTGACGTCCTTCTAACGGACTAGTGACAACGATCTTGTCTGGAGTGAATCTGAAGTAGCCATAGTTGGGGGCTATTCCCTCGTCCCTCGACATCGATCCAATCGGGGTAACGCCCGGCATAGTCTCACTATCGAACTCTTCCGCAATTCCTCCCCCAGCAACGCTTCGCCGTCCTACATTCGCATGCTCTCGTGACGCTGCTGCACGATGAACACGCTCCTGTACACCGCCGACGCTAGCCGTACTAAACCGAGTTGGTCTTCGCAGGACCCCACGCGACATCAACCCATCAAACTCCTCGTCATCGCTATTTCCGCCATCGACAGCCATATCCCACGCACTAGTACCTCCCGCAACTTGCTCAACATTCTCTACACGTGGGGAAGGGTGCTCACGACGCCGACGCGAGCGCAATCCCTCCAACATTAGCTCGTATTCAATATCACTAATCTAACCACGAGAATGACGAGCCACGAGATCCTCCTCTAGAGTGCGCAAATTACCGGCCTCCACGTTCGCCTCCTCAGTACTCATCCTCTACGACGTCTCTATAAGGTACCACAAATTAAAATAAAGTGCCCCTTCCTTAAATCCCTCGTCTCGGGGTCACCTCACAAGGGTCCTCAGACGAGTGGTAATAAATTACCAAACGCCCTATCCTTGGGTCCGAGAACGTAACTGGAGGGAAATCAAGAGAGGTTCAACTTAGATTAATAAGCGCCCTTCACTAACGCCGCACGCCAAGGCGAGTATACGAACGCGAATATCAACGACGACGGAAATCTATGCGTGTTCGTTCCACGCTCACCGCACCATGAAGGAATCTATTAGAGAGCGTAGCGATAACGAGAGAGTTTCTGCTATGGGAATGATGTTGCGCCAGCAACTTGGTAGAGTTTCGGTAGCATTTGCCTCTAAGGACTTGGTGAGAATTGAAGTAGCATTTTGGACTTCACTAGGAACATATAAAATTATATCAAACACACAAGCAACACAAACATATATAGGCAGGCGAGGGTTTCACAAGAGGTTGCGTGGGTGCTGCGAGTAACCCAACCCCACGAAAGTGGTGTGTGGGTGAGCGAACGCGCCTCGCCAATTTCCCAACCCAACTCAGCATCGACTTCTCGCTTCCGTGCACACCACTCCACCAACACCGCAAGGAGTGGTGCGACTCTCAAGGAAGCACCAACGACTCCCACGGACTCTCGCTTCTTCATGCGAACTCCTGCGCAGTTGCACATAGTCACACGTAGCCACACCCGACCTCCACCGAACTCATTCGTCGGAGCCGAGTAGACTCAGTCGTTAGGCGTCGACCTGCCAAGTCAAAGGTCATCGAGGGCCCTTGCTGTTGTAGGGCCCTCTAACAGTGGGGTGATAGGAAGCAGGGTCAGGGCAGACGGGGAGGACGACGGTGCACATAATGGCGTGGAACGACGACTTCTATATGAACCTCGAGAAGAGCTTCGGGCGCGACAACACGGGGCTCGTGGCGGAGTCGCACCGCCAGGCCATCGCGTGCATCGAGGACACCGTGGCGCGCGAGCGCATCGACTGCAAGTTTTCACGCCTCGATGGGTACCTCTTCCCACACGACTCCAAGCCGTCCACGCTGGAGACGCTCCACCTGGTAATTAGCTTGTAGGGTAACCAGCTGCATGGTGGTGGCCGTGTAATATTCCAGATTCACGGTTTGGCGGTTGCCTTACCCTCACCTTCTTCCTCCACGCAATCACCTCATTGTCTTTTTCGCCCCTCTCTCCTCTCCTCTGCCCCCAGGAGTACGAGGCGTGCAAGCGGGCGGGGTTCACGGACGTGTACATGGCGGATCTCAACGGCGACCCCGCCCTCGGCTCCGTGCACAAGGCCATCTGCTTCCCCTCCACCGCCGAGTTCCACCCCCTCATGTACGCGCCTGCTTGCATATCCCTTGTTGGACCACCTGCCCTTCCTTTCTTCCGCCCCGCCCTGCCCGCCCTGCCCGCCCTGCACGTGTGGGTCAAGTCAGTCAGTCCTCTTCACTGCTCCCTCTGCTGACCCTCACACCACCATATCCCTCCAACATATATATCCTACCCCTTTCAATCCCATGCACTCCCCCCCTCTCTCCCCGTGTACCTCCCCCTGCTGTCTCCTTCCCTCTCTCCTTCCCCCCCCACCAGGTATCTGAACGGGGTGGCGGGCGCGTTTGTATGGCACGGGGGGCGCATCTTCGAGCAGACAGTCGCCTTCCGCGAGGAGGGGTCGGTGACGGGCACGGGGGCGGGGGTGGTGGTGGCGAGCAAGGACGGGCGGGGCGTGGTGCACGCGGGGGCGGTGGTGCTGGCCACCAACTCGCCCATCAACCACAACCTCCTCGTGCACGCCCGCCAGCCCGCTGACAGGAGTTATGTTGTGGGCCTCCACCTGCCTAAAGGCTCCGTCAAGTGCGTGTGGGCATGTGGGCATGTGGGCGTGTGCTGGGCTGGGAATGCTGTTAGTGGGGCACAGAGCACGTATTGTTATGGGCAAAAGACTGTAGTGGAGCCATTCGTCTTCCATGTTATGCTCCCGGTGCCCTGTTGCTTCTTTGTCCTCCCCTCATTCCTCCCCTGGCAGGCGAGCCAACTGGTGGGACACAGCTTCCCCCTACCACTACGTGCGCGTGGAGGAGCAGGAGGGGCGCGACGTGCTCGTGGTGGGCGGCGGCGACCACCCCGTGGGCATGCCCGCCACCCAGTACCACGACGTGTGGGGCGACCTCGAGCGCTGGGCACGGCCCCGCTGGCCCATGGCGCAGCAGACGCTCTTCCGCTGGAGTGGCATGGTGCGTACACAGGGAGGGGTGGGTGGTGGTTTTTTCATGGCATGGGCTGGTGTGGGGCTTCCAACTCGGGATTTCTCCACGACTTCCAACTCGGGATTTCTCCACGACTTCCAACTCGGGATTTCTCCACGACTTCCAACTGCTCCGCCTGCTGATCCGCTCCGTCTGTGCCATTTCCTCCTTGTTCTTCCCGCCGCACTCTTATCCTGCTGTCCTGTGCTGCTCTCTCCATGCTGCTACCCACGCATGGCAGGTGTACGAGCCGGTGGACTTCCTGGGGCTGTACGGCCGCAACCCCATGGACTCCACTAACACCTACATTGCCACTGGTACGCTGCACCATGTCTGCCGAGCCAATGGGAATGCAATGCCCACGACTGCATGACCAACGGTCTGTCATGTTAGCTCCCTGCTCTCTCCCAGGTGCCCCTGCCGCTCGCTTTCCATCTCACTCAATCCTCCCTGCTCCCCCCACTCTCTCACCCCATCCTCCCACCCCACCGTCCCACCATGGTGCAGGTGACAGTGGGCAGGGCATGACGGGCGGCACCATAGCCGCCATGATCATATCCGATCTCATCTGCCGCCGCCCGAATCCGTTCGTGGAGATCTACTCGCCATCGCGCCTGCCGCCCCTGTCCAAGGAGTCACTGTCACTGGCCGGCTCCGTTGTCAGCCACACCTTTCAGGTACCAGAGTCGTCCTCATGCACTGCACTGCACTGCACTGCACTGCACTGCACTGCACTGCACTGCACTGCTCGACCCCGTGGCACACAGCGGCTCGGCTCACAGTGGACGATGGCTGTAGAGGACTGGGGCGGAATGGAGGGCTGTAGAGGACTGGGGCGGAATGGAGGGCTGTAGAGGACTGGGGCGGAATGGAGGGCTGTAGAGGACTGGGGCGGAATGGAGGGCTGTAGAGGACTGGGGCGGAATGGAGGGCTGTAGAGGACTGGGGCGGAATGGAGGGCTGTAGAGGACTGGGGCGGAATGGAGGGCTGTAGAGGACTGGGGCGGAATGGAGGGCTGTAGAGGACTGGGGCGGAATGGAGGGCTGTAGAGGACTGGGGCGGAATGGAGGGCTGTAGAGGACTGGGGCGGAATGGAGGGCTGTAGAGGACTGGGGCGGAATGGAGGGCTGTAGAGGACTGGGGCGGAATGGAGGGCTGTAGAGGACTGGGGCGGAATGGAGGGCTGTAGAGGACTGGGGCGGAATGGAGGGCTGTAGAGGACTGGGGCGGAATGGAGGGCTGTAGAGGACTGGGGCGGAATGGAGGGCTGTAGAGGACTGGGGCGGAATGGAGGGCCCACTGTGGGGCCATGCACCCACCTCTCTGCCATCTCCGTTTGTGCTGCCATCTCCAACTGTGCTCTCACCACCACCACCACCACCACCACCACCACCACCACCACCCCTCCCTGCACGGCAGGGGTACAAGGACCGCTGCCCCTGGTGGGCACGGACGGCGTGGAGATAGAGGAGCTGGGGCATGGGGGAGCGCACTGTGGTCCATCCGTGCAACCATCTCACTGTGACCTGAGTCTTCCCATCCCCCCCTTGTGCTCTCGCCACCCGCGCACGGCAGGGGTACAAGGACCGCTTGCCCCAGGTGGGCACGGACGGCGTGGAGATAGAGGAGCTGGGGCGCGGGTGCGGGGCGGTGGTGCGCATGGGCGGGGGCAAGGCCGCTGTTTTCCGTGACAAGGACGGCTGCGTGCACGCCTTCTCTGGTCTATGCTGCCTGTGGGGGTGCATGCTCTGTGTGTGTGTGTGTGGCCCGTTGTGGGAGTGCTCTGCTGCAGGTGCGAGAGAGTGTGGTGTGTGAGTTTTGCAGGGGGGGTGTTATGCATGAAGCACCATTGCGCATGTGCTCTTCCATAGGGGCCCACAACGCATCCTCTGCCACATGCCTGTCGTGCAATCAAATGTTAAGTGCAATCAAATGTTAAGTGCTTCACAACCTGCCTCTCTTTTTCTTCCCTCCCTTCGGAATTCCCGTCCCCTCCCCCCAGCAACATGCCCCCACATGGGGTGCAACGTGCACTGGAACCCTAACGACAGTGTTCTAGGTGTCTCAAAAGTCACGTGGCTTTCTCTCTCCTCTTCCCCTCCCGGCCCCTCGTTCCCTCCCCCCAGCGACATGTCCGCACATGGGATGCAGCGTGCACTGGAACCCCAACGACACCACGTTTGACTGCCCGTGCCACGGCTCGCAGTTCGACCACCGCGGCCGCTGCATCAACGGCCCCGCCAAGGCCGACCTCGCGCCACTCGACCCTGCTCTGACGGGGTAGTGTGTGCTTGGGAGGGAGGGAGGCCGTGATCTGCACACGTTTGTGTACATACAGTTATGCATGCTGCTGGCACCGTTCTTCTTGTCTGCTTCGTTGTACATATCTTGTTATCCGTAAATGGAATGGTTTGCCTGGTGGTGAACCAGGCGTGTAAATGTGCTAAGATATCAACCAAATGGCAAGTTATACTTAATTGTTGTAGGCGCACGCGGTCAACATATACGTAGTATCCTATCCTATTCTCTAGCTGCCATATCTAAATGACTGGTACCGTATCGGTAAGAAAATCTTGCTATCACACTTGTACATACAAACTAGTGGTTATGTTCGCAACTATCAAGCTAGCGTGGCGAGCTTCTTGCACAGTACAGCGTAGCTACGTCGTCCACTAATGCTGCAAATGCATGCCGCTGTTGCACTGGTACTAGAAGGAACATAAACAACATGATCCGTCTCCAAGCCGGAGCAAGATGATGAGCACCAGTGAACAGCCACCCTGTATGTAGTTTCTTCACACGCACCAGTGCTGCAACAACCCTTTCTCCTTCAGTGCAACAAAAACCAATGAGAATGCTGCTAGGCCAAAGCAGCAGACAACTCCCTCACTACAGAAACCAAGCTGGTGCGGGTCAAAGCAGTCAAGGCAAGTCAAGAGAAGTTACGGCCGCGAGCGCGGTGAGGGAGGCGTGGGGGCGACGGCACAGGGGTTATCTGCGAGGCCGGTGAGGAGGATGCGCATGCGCACGTGGCCCTGCCCCATCACTATGTTCATTATGGACGCCGACGCATTGGCGGTCAGCAGCAGCTGCCTGCCTTGGGTCGGTGCAAGGGAGGGCACAACCGAGGGGGTAAAACCAAGGGCAAGAGGGGAGCGGTGAGCGGATGTCAACATGCGTGCTGCAAGATTGATGCATGATGAGGATAATGCACTGGGGCTCAACAGCACTGGGGCTCAACAGCACTGGGGCTCCAACAGCACTGGGGCTCCAACAGCAGCACCTGCCTGTTGTAAGTCAGCAATGAGTGCAGAGGACAACATGCAAGCACTCCCCCTCCTCCTCCACCACTTCCTCTGTTTGCTTTCTTGCCCTCCTCCCCATCTCTCCGCCTCTCTCCCCCGTCCTCTCTTCCCCTGCCCCCCCGCCCTGCCTCTCTTCCCCCCCCCCCTTGCGCACCGGGCAGTGAAGACGGCAGTGGAGTTGATGAAGAGGTGCACCTGCGACTGGTTCGCTGCCACCTGCATGGGGGTCCGGGGAGAGGTGGTGGAATGCACAGGAGAGAGGGCACAGGGGAGAGAGGGGGGGAGAGGGGGCGAGAGGGAGAGGGAATGGGATGGGGACCACAAGGGCCAATCCAGGAAGGGTGGGTGGGGTGCAATGAAGGAGCAATGCGGCATGAAAGGAACGACTAATTCCTTGACCAGCACAACTGATAGCCTCGCACGCCCATTCTGAACTCAGGTGTCTCACTCATAGTGCTCAGGTGTCTCACTCACAGTGCTCAGGTGTCTCACTCACAGTGCTCAGGTGTCTCACTCACAGTGCTCAGGTGTCTCACTCACAGTGCTCAGGTGTCTCACTCACAGTGCTCAGGTGTCTCACTCACAGTGCTCAGGTGTCTGGTGAGGTACCTCACGGTGATCAGGTGTCCCACTCACAGTGTTCAGGTGCCCATGAACGAAGCCAAAGGAGGCGAGGGGGGCCGTCAGGTTGCTAGCAGAAAAGGGGCCGCCGCCAAAGTCCCTGCTGGGGGCGAAAAAGCCTCTCACAGCTCGCCACGTGGCAGTGGGCACGGTCCACGCGGACTGGAAGGAGCCGTACGTCTGGTCGATGGCGAATGGCGGCACGGCCGAGGCTGATTAGGCTCGGGATGAGGAGAATGGGAGGGGGGGTTAGCAAGAAGGAGAGACGGGGGCGTTAAGATGCAAGGGGACAGTGAACGATGGTAGATACTGGTGAGAGCAAAATGTGGGAGAAGGAAAGAGAGGGAGCAGACAGAGAGCAGGAGGAGACAGGGAGAAAAGCGAAGGAGGGGAGAGAGAGGAGGGAGAGGGAGAAATGCACGGGATTGACAAAAAGACTGAGGCGGAGGGGGGGGGTGCGCACTGGAGAGGTTGAGGGTGGGTGCGAAGGCAGCGATGGTGCCAGTGGCGTTGGCCTGCGCCGCAATGGACGCCGGCGCTGGTCGACCCGCTGGAGTGATGCCCGTCAGCGACGTGTTGCTGATGCGCGCCTGTGGGGTGGGGGGGGGACGGGGCGCGGGGGAAGGGGACGGGGGGAGGGGGGGAGGAGGGGAAATGGTGGGGGACTTGGAGTGCGGAGGGTGAGGGGAAGAAAGGAGGAGCAGGACGGAACTATGCGGGTGCTGAAAGGGTGATGAAAGAAGGAAGCGGCGAATCCACTTTCGCCATTTCGTGGGCTGCTGAGATCAGCTGCTGCAGTCACTCCCTCGCCTAAGTCACATGAAGCTCACCAGGGTGATATTAAAGGACGTTCTTATATCCGTGCACTCGATCACATCCACCGTTACAGTGCCCGCCAGTGGGAAGCCTCCCGGGGTAACGACAACCGATGCGAGCTGCCCTTCTTTCGGCGGGATCTCCGAGTCCCACGTCAGATTTGACCTTCTCGGGTCAACGCGGAACGTGATTGGCCCAGGCTGCGCGCTGACGTGGCACGCCAGCATCCACTGGGCGAGCGACACGGCAGCAAGAAGTGGTATGACATGGCAGACGAGACGGTCGTTTAGCGCGAACATGAAGAACGTCATAGTGGTGCCGCTTTGGAAGAATCTAACCACGCGAAGGGCGGCTGCTTATCAATCGGGAACGCTGAAACGAGCGAGCGAAAAGGGAGCAGACGAAGTGACCGAAAGAGGACGAGGGGGAGGATGAGGTGGAGGCAACGGTCACACGCGGCGAGCGGCGGGCGCTGCTAGACGACTGACTGGCGGAAGAAAGTCTAGCGGCGGAAAGACTGGGCGCGGAGAGAGCGCGGCGAGAACGCGAAGGGAGAGCGCCGGGAGAAAGCGAGCAGATAACGCGCGCGTGGAGAACAGGAGCACGAGGATGCCGATGATAGTAGCTCGCCGACATAGTAACGACGCTTCCGTGGCGCGTGGGAGGTCCATCCAGCCATGGCTGCTGCCGCCATGCATGCGCAGGTCTCGCGTCTCGGCGCGTCGAAAGGTGTTGTGGGATTGCGGGCGAGCAGATGACACGTTTGTCACGAGCAAGCTGGCAGGGAGTTGATCTGAACATTCAGCGCCTGGGAATGTGATTGTTTTGATGCAATCTAGGTTGGATTCCTTGGCGTTGTAAAATATAACGTGTACATCATGAGGATACAAGCGAAGCTGGCTTCAGCGAGGTAAAACTCGGGTTCTGTTTCGGAGGTCGAGATGGCAGTTTGTGAAGCCTGCCACGTCGTTGAAGAAGGTCCTAAGATTGCCACGTCGACCAAGTAGGTCCAATGTGGTATTTGAAAAAGGGGGATTATCAGATTGGGCCCCAGAGGTCTAGAAAAGTTGCCGACTTGGGGCCTTGTGTTTCGCAAAGAGAGCCTGGGCCGGACCTGTACCCAACCAATTTCGAGCCTCATTCACGCGCTCCGTCAGACCTAACCACACAAGGTGACGAATTCTTCCTTGACGACAAAGAAATTTTTGACTCGACATATAATAATTGACGAAATTTCCTCTCCTGCGTCATGCCTTCGAAGGGGCCTCAGCCCTAAACATCTTGCCGCACGGTGTTTAGGGTTGATGCTTCCCCAATTATATGCCATCCGAATAGGGTTTACTTTTTGTACCATTGCGAGTTGAATATTTGAATATTTGGGGTTAAACGAATGTTTTTCCGGGTAGTTCTCGATGACGGGTCACTAGCGAATTCCGTCAATCCCAGGCCAGTAGGTGGTGACCTGGCGAGAAGGCCAGGCTCGGCCTAAATGCCCAGGTGTATTGGTTGCTTCGGGGCTACGTAGTAGGGGCGCGGCCCCAATTCAGCCAATGTACGGCTTCTCCGGGGCCCCTTTCTGATATTCTCCCATTTGAGATAAACGGAGAGTGCAATAGCGTGTTCGGATTCTCCTCGGCCTCACCTTCCTTCCACCTTCAATTACCAGAGCCCTCCGCTTTCTTAGCTCACTTGCGATTCTTACAATTCCTCCACTGCTGCGGTTCCGTCCACATCTCTCTACTTCCCTGCGGCTCAGCATCTCGGAATCCTCAGTCATCTACCTGTTTCCGTGTTCCACAAGCATCCGTCATCACCGCCATCGTGCATAAATTCCAGCTCCTAGCCTTTTCATGGCCACCACAGCCTCCCTGCTCTCGGCGCCTCGCTCTGCATCCTCGCTTCTCGCAAACAAGCAATTAGGCCGAAATCGTAGTCTTCCCCTGGCGTTACGATCACCGGGACACGTGGCAGCCGTCGGTAGGGCGAGGGCAGTGAGGTCGGTGTTGCTGGGCGTCGTCGTCGCGTCGTCGTGGGCGCGGCCCGGCAGCGCGCAGGCAAGCGGGGGAGGCGGAGAGGCCGCGCCGATGGCGGTGGTGAAGAGCGAGGAGGAATGGCGCGCGATCCTGTCGCCGGAGCAGTTCCGCATTCTGCGGATGAAAGGCACCGAGTGAGTGGGCGGGGAGGGAACGTTCAGGGGGGACGAGGGCCGTGGGTAAAGAGGGAAGCGTTCAATGTTGCGGAAATTACGCATATGAGACCAAGATTACTAACGCCTAGGTTGCGCGCTAGAACGATTGAGGCTGCCTGGTTGATGTTGGAGTGGAGGCAAGCTCACAAGCGTATGCGAAAACCAAAGTTTTGGCCTTCAGATTTGCCAAGTGGGGCTATGCCGTGGCGTCTAGGGCTATATCGTGGCCTCTAAGGATACGTGGCCTGTAGGGCTATACCGTGGCCTATAAGGGCGGTTCAAACTTTGCACATGTACGGTTAAATTTCAGCTTAGTTACCACAATAAAGCATGTAACAGAACTTTTAACGTACAAGATTCGCTTGACGCGAGACTGTATGAGCTCATTTCGGAAACGTGCCCCGGGACGGGCGGAACACATCCGAAGGTTCGTCTCCCAAATCGCTTCCCGTCAAAGTCGTCAAACAGTAACGCCCGTTTCTCGCCAAAACTCTTCGCCCTAGATGCGGAAACCCTCGCAACATTTGTTAACTCTCCTTCCCAGGTACTGTACCTCGCAACGTTACTGTACCTCGTCAAAAGTCCGCACTGTACAGTCCGAACTGCACAAGAATCAGTAGGAGTACGCCCTGGGGTACAGTCAAATCTGACAAGTGTGTTGACGTTAAAATAACGAAAAAAACGGGAGTGTGCAAAGTTAAATTCGCCCTAAGGATAACACGTGGCCCCTAGGCCTACGGTGCTGTATCTTATGAACAGTCACAATGGCCTCCTTGTGCAACCCTTCCCGTTTGCATCCACCACTTGTTCTCGTTATCAGGTACCCTGGTACAGGTCAGTACAACAAGCACTACGAGGAGGGCGTCTATAACTGTGGAGGTTGCGGCACGCCCTTGTACAAGTCCACCACCAAGTTCAACTCAGGGTGCGGCTGGCCCGCTTTCTTCGAGGGGCTGCCCGGAGCTATCAAGAGAAACATTGATGCGGACGGGCGTAGAGTGGAGATTGTGTGTGCGGCGTGTGGCGGGCACCTGGGGCATGTGTTCAAGGGCGAGGGGTTCCCCACCCCCACGGATGAGCGGCACTGCGTGAACAGCGTGTCTCTCACTTTCACCCCAGCTGATGCGTAGAGTGGCTGAGCATGGCAGTCATACAGGATGAATTGAGAATGGCAGCTTGAACTATGTGATGCTGGTGAATCAAAGCAAACATGTTGTAGGGAGGTATGGGTTGGTGTGGTGAGGGCAGGTGGATTTGGTCGAGAGTTCTCTGATGGAGTTCTGCAAGCTGCAGCCCTGTACTCAACCCTTACATGCTCCAGTGAACTTGCATCATGGCCTGTGATGGGCGTCTCTCACTGGAACAGCTGGTTCCTTTCCTCCTGCCACACAAGTGGACTGTGAGAATGGAATTGTGCCAGCTGTTCTCAGCTAACCCGAGACCTGAGGAACATGAGATAATGTGTGACTGGAATAGATTCTTTGTTAGGTACCGTAATTTTGAATCTGTGTGAATTATGGCAAGGCGTTGTGTGCATTGTGTGTGTACTTGAGTTGGAAAGATTACATTGTATAGCTTCATGTGTTCCACCAGAATGCAATGTACAGAAGTCAGAACCAACCTCTTAGCGGAAAATCTTCTCACTGATGTGACGTCGGTTGGTGAGTTCGGTGGGGTGGGATGGAGGTATCTGACGTCATGACGTCAAGCGAGGACAGAAGACTTGCCAGCGAGCATTAATTCCATGGACAAGCAATGAAGCTTCAGGGCTGGGCGAGCAGCACTGCATGCACGTGTGCTTGATGCTGGAAAGGGGGGAAAAACGGTCAGCAATTCTGGTCATTCAGATATCAAATACTGTTTCTGGATTAAGCCGGCGATATTTCAAACCACGCTGACAAGGTTGTTATCCAATGTACAGTTCTCTGCTATTCTGTACACTAGCTGTTTCCGGGCTGGGGGAGAATGATCGAGACACTAGGGACGATACGGAAGCACCTCCGCCTTCACCCCCCTGGTTCATGCACTGTCCATTGTGTCAAAGTGAATGCTCATTGGCTCTTTATTCAATAATCTCGGCCTGATTCGTTCGTACTACTGCCTCGTTGGCCCTGCTCTAAAGTTCGTGAACCATGCATGCATATCACTCCTCAGGCTGACACGTGGTCAAAAGGACAACCGTCTGTTGGTAATAGGAAAGGCATGTGAGCCTGCACAGCACTGTTTCCCTCCACGTTGCCCCTTTCGCCGACCATCTAAACGACAACACTGCACATTGCATTTGCCTCGGTGGGCTCCTCTAAGCACCAGGCAGAAGAAGCACACCTGCACCTTCGCCTTGCCGCCCCTGTCATGCACTCATGTTGTGAGCATGTTGACAATTTGACACCGCACACACCACAACGAGCCGTCCGTGATTGGTCGAGGATGCTAGAGGTGTCCAGAGCGTCAAAAGACAAGACCGAATGCTTTCCCTCGATACCGAACAGAACACACACAGAATGAACTAAACCTATAGCGGACTGTTAGAAGTTTTGACTGGCGCCAGGCATAATGCCCTTTGATTTGAATCAAGCAGCAGGCCCCTTCAACCAGCGCTGGAGCTGGGAAAACAGAATGTCCATTCGCAGCGCGGATGTTTAGTTCGCGGCTCGGAGACACATTTGTTTCGTAAGCGTGGGTTGCTGACTCGCTGTGGTGGACAATCCGACTGTGGGGAGGGGATGCACCGTCCACCCACTTGCCCCAACTCCATCTGTCTCCTCAACTTCCCGTCAGCATTCAATCCCGTTGCTTTCCGCAACCATACCAATTTGCTCCACATTTCACACCACCTCCTATCAAGATCCACAACACATAACTGACATTCACGTCCCTCCTTTCAAGTTCCCCGTCTAATGTGGCATCCACATCGAATCCGTCGAGAGGATCTAGCCTGATTATGGAGAAGGATACGCGCGGGATTCACCATGGTCCTAACGCAGACGACGGCGAAACCACGCCCGAGTTTCATCACGATGCCAGCCTCGCGCAAACACCGGCACAATATATGCTGAACGCGCACTCATCGCAATCTCAGCGGGAATCGAATCTCTTCGCAATGACTCCGTCATTTCCCCGTTTTCCCGTCACTATGTCCGCCGTTCGCGCTTCGACATCCCATGATAGAATCAATACCCCAAGTTCAGACTGCGCCTCGGGGATGCGCATCGCGAACGTGTCCGATGAGCCTCTGGCGCGCGTTGAAGGTCCTTCAACAGGAATGCCCAAGGGCGAGGCGCCAGACGTGATGTCCGTGCAGCTGCTCGCGAGCCTGCTGTCCGAAATGAGCGATTCTCCGCCGTTTCCTTCCTCCCCGTTGCCATCCCCGCGCTCGCCTTCCGCCGCCGCTCTCCACTCGCTACAACCCGTCGCATCGCCGCGACGCGCTGTCCTCCCCCCAGAACGAGCACAACATGCGAAATGCGTGGCCCGGTGCGAGGATGGGAGTATAGCGCCTGATGCAGCGGTAGCGTCTTCGGGGGTTCCCTCGGGGATAGGTGAACGCCGAAGTGCGCCCGCGGCGGATGCGCGCCTGCGTGGGACTGACGCTCGCGATTATCCGCTTGCCCGCGCATTGGCGGAACTGGAAGCGCAGGACCGCGCGCGGGAAATGGCAGCCGCAGTGACACGGCGCGTAGCCCCTGGCAATGCGCGGCATGCGGAACGTGAGCGCACGGACGACGGGGGGGCGAGAGAGGTCAGAACGACGGGATCGGACTCTAGCGCGCACAACATGTCGGAAACATCCGCGGAAGCACGCCATAGAAACCAAGCGCGTGGCGACGGCGGAATAGAAGACATCATCGCGCATCTTCCACGCTCCACCTCCGCGTCTCTCGCCCAGGAAAGTCAGGAGATTGCGCGGGTACTCGAATCCCGGCGGGGAGGAAGCGATGGATGCGCGTTTCCCCGCCGAAGCGGGAGTCTGGTAGGCAGAGGCGCACACGCAAGGCAGCAGGCGGACGGCGCGAGTGGCAGCAGCAGCAGCGTGGACGGCAGCGCGTCGCGTTTCAGCGCGTTCGTCGCGAGTCGAGAGGCCATGGTGCGCGCCCTCACCGCTCATCTGCGCCGCCCCTCCGCGGAACCCGCCTCCCCTCATAAGGCCAGCACCAATGGCGCTTTTACCGAACCTGGTCCCTCCGAACCTGGTCCATCCGAGTCTGCTATTTCGGAACCTGCTATTCGTGCACGCAGCATGACTGCGAGCGGCGGTCGTTCCGCCACTCGCCCGCGGACGAGTGGCGGCGAGCGCAGCGAGAGGGCCATCGCTGGCGGAGAAGGGTGGGGCGGAGGGGCGGAGGGGCGGAGCAGGGCGGAGCACGTGCGACGGCGGTTGGCGGAGAGCGCAGGAGAGCAGGGGGGCGTGGTGGGATGCAGAGAAACCGCGGGCGGAGTGGGGGTGGTTGTGCAGGGAGGGGGTCGCATGGGGCAGTGGAGTGATTTTGGGGTCTGGAATTCAGGTGCTGTGGTAGCCGCGGTGGGCGGCGGGGCAGGAGGCGCGGATGCTGGGGGAATGGTAAGGGGGAGCGGAAGTAGTGGCGTGGCGGAGAGGTGGCAGGCGGGGCGGTTGGGATCCGCGCAGCAGAGCATGGGACCCCCCGCGCCCAGAATGACGGGCGGATGGAGGGGCACTGAAGCCGTGCGCGCTCCACCTACTGCTGTTGTTGCTGCTGCGTGCGCTGGCAGTGCTTCTAACCTCGCAGGCAGTGCTGCTGCTGTCGGTGCTGGCGGTGGTGTTGCGGGTGACACAGCGACTGCAGGTGGACTGGGTCTGGCTGCCTGGCCCACGCACGCTGCTCTTCCTCCCCCCATGCCCCGCCTCCCCCACGTGCCCCTCTTCCCTCACTCCGCCTCCATGCCTCTCCCACCCCGCTCCGCCCCCGCACCCCTCCTCCCCCGCTCCGCTCCCATACCTCTCACCCCCCACTCCCCACCCCAATTCATCCCCCACTCGCAACCCATACCACTGCGGCCCCACTCCGCGCCCGCAACATCATTCTCCCACTCCCACTCCGCGCCCGCAGCAGCATTCCCTCACTCCCCCTCTGCGCCTCGCCTTCCCCACGCCTTGGGCAGGCCTAACACCCCCTCCGCCACACCCCTGCCAGAGCACCACCCGTCTGCCACGGCCCCGCTTGCACCTATCGTCATTAACCCACTTGCACCTACCATGACCCCGCTTGCCGCGCACATGACCTCGTTCTTGCCGCCCCACCAAGGGGCCTGGCATGTGGGGGCCGCAGCGGCAGAGGGGACGGCAGCGGAAGCAGCAGCAGCAGGTGCATCAGGAGCGGCGGCAGCAGCAGGCGGCATGGGAGCGGAGGAGGAGCGGATGTGGTGCGAGTTTGACGCCATGCTCATGGGCGCTCCACCCCCCATACATGCGCACGGTACGGCCGTGAACCCCATGGCTGCACACTTCATGACTGCGCATGGTACAAGTGGGGACCCCCTGAGCGCGGTGGGCCCCTCGGGTGGTCATCCCATGGGAGCAGCATGGAGCGGTGGCATGGTGCATGGGGGTGACATGGCCCCCGTGCAAGCAGACACCCCCCTTGCCGCCCACGGCACAGGCGGCCCACTTGCCGAGTTGCACACAGCACCGGTGCCAAGTGGGTCTGGGGGGTCTGCAGAGGGACACGCAGCAGCAGGGGCGGAGGTGGGTGCGGAGGCGGAGGGAGGGACAGAAACAGGAGACATGTCGGGGATGGAAGTACTGGGAGAGGGGGGAGGAGGAGCAGGAGGTTCGGGTTCGTCTGGTGGGCGCGGCAAGAACAAGAGTGTGGTGGAGAAAGAGCGGAGGGAGCGAATCAGGTACGACCCCCACCAGATGCACCTCCACTCCACGTTCCACAACCACTCTTCCTCCTGCCCCCCTCCCTTGGTCCTTTACCCACCCCGTCAACCCTTCCATGCTCCTACCCGCACCGGGCCCCCATTGCTACTTCTCCATCTTGCATAACGTCCACCTGACAGGCATGCACACATCACCCCCTCATCCCCCTTCCCATCATTCATTATTGCGCTGCCTCCTCCCCTGCCTCCCCCCTTCCCTCTTTCCCGTTGGAACGCACGCAGTCAGGAGCTGCAGAGGCTGAGGCAAACAGTGAGGGGGAGGGGGGACATGGCAGCGATGCTGGATGGCGCCGTGGCGTATGTGGAGCAGCTGAAAGCGCAGCACAGTGAGCTGGAGGCCACTCTGCTGCAGCACCAGCTCACCTGTACATGCCCCCAGTGCCACCAGCTGGGCCAGCCGTGATACTCAACCGTAAGTATCCTTGCAGGCAGCACCAGCTCGCCTACACGTGGCCATGAGTGGAATTTCCAGGGCCCCGGAGTAAAGGGCTGCAAGTGGTTTGATTATTTTAGTATCGTGTTTGGTGGGATATTTCATGGATACATTTTTGTACAGGTTGCACTGCGTGCTGCAGGCATGCCCTTAGCGTACCGATATTGTACAATTAATAATAAATGGAGTGTGTTGCTCAGTGTGTCTCGCGTGCCACTAGAAGTGAGACAGCCGGAAAATGCTGCACGTCGCCCGAACACCTCCCGCGGGAGAGGCAAGAAGAAAATCACCATAGCCATCAGCATCATCACCACCGTCACCATCACTGCCATTACCGTTACCACCATCACCATCATCAGCATCACCATCAGCATCACCATCATCCCCATCACCAGCACCACCATCAGCGGTGCAGTTGCCGTGAGCAGCATCAGCATCGGGAGCATCGGGATGGGAGGCGTGGGGGTGGAGGGGGTCGGGGAAGGTGGAGAGGATGAAGGAGCGGAAGCGGCGAGCGTAGAGCGAGGGGTGGACTGCTGAGATGGAATGCCCGTCGTACTGCACACTCTTCACCATGTGCTCCACACGCTTGCCCACGTCATACTCCTGCACGTGGGGATGGTGGGGTTGGGCGAGATAGGAAGCAGAGCAAGGGGAGAGGTTGCTCATACTGCAGGCTCTTGTACACCTGCTCCACACGCTTGCCCACATCGTACTCCTGCAGGTGGGTGGTGAGTGCATAGGGGCGTTGGGAGTTGGGTCACTTAACAAGAAAGTTGTACTGCAGGCAGGCTCCTGTACATGTGCTCCCCCCTCTTGCCCACATCGTACTCCTGGTTGAGGATGGAGGGGGACGGTGGGTGCAGAAGGGCATTTGGGGTTGGGTCACATGGTTGACTTTCAAGTCAACTACAAAGTCAAACTGCAGGCTCTTGTACACGTGCACCACACGGCCTGCCTGCAGAATGTCGATGATACCCAAGTGCAGCACAGCAGCACCTCATAATGCGCTTCCCGCAGCAGCAAGACAACTTCTGAACCGATTAGAAGGTAACTGCACCATACCACACCCCTCACATGCACCAAACCACCCACCTGCACCGCACTGCACCACAGGGCACCACACCTGCAGGATGTCGATGATACCGAAGTGCAGCAGCACCTCATACGCCTCCCCCAGCAGCGGGTCCTGCACGGCCCTGCGAGTGCGCCTGTCCACCCTCACTGCCGTGCCCCCCATGCCCTGCCCCAACAGCTGCCCCACCACCCCCCTCCCCTTCCCCCCCCCTCCCCCTCCTCCCCGTCCTGCTGCTGCTGCCACTGCTCCTCCTCCACGTCCGGCTGTTTTCTCCCCTGGTGAAGCCTGCCCCACCACCGCCCCTGCTGCACCTGCACTCTTGCCGTCTGTCCCAGTTGCCGCCCTTGCTCCCGCACCCACAGCACAAGGGGAGGGGGAGGAGGAGAGAGGCGGAGAGGGATACGCTGAGGCGGAGGCGGGGGTCGGAGCTGGGGCAGGAGGAGGGGCAGAGGCAGAAACAGGAGAGTGGGGAGGAAGGCGGGACAAGGGTGGAATACGGGGGGGTGTGGGATGGCGGCGGCCATTGGCATTGTTGCTGGCCCTGCCGTGCGTGCTGTCCTGGTTGGTGCTGTGCGTGTTGCCATGGTTGCTCCATGCACTGCTGCTGCTGTTGCTCTTGCAATTGCTGCTGCTGCTGCTGCTGGTCCTCCTACTGCACCCATCCTGGCCACTAGCAGCAGCACCATCACCAGCGCGATCATCAGCTGGGCCCAACGCCTCCTCGTCACTGCATGCCCTCCCGTCCCCCTCCACCACGCCACAGCTGCTACTCCCCTCCGCACTACCCTCGTCCACGCTGCTCTCGTCGGTGGTGAGGGAGTGCGAGTGGGGGAAGGAGGGCGCCAGCAGGTGCAGTGGGCTGCTGCCGCCGCTGCCTGCCGTGAGCGAGCGCGGGAAGAAGTGCCGCACTGTGGCGGCACGGGTGGTGGCAGCAGCGGCTGGAGAGGCAGTGGTGGCAGTAGTAGCAGCCGTGGCACCGGCATGGGATGGTGATGTGTGGGAGGGGGAGGTGTGAGAAGAGGAGGCGTGAGAGGGGGAGGCGTAAGAAGGGGAGGTGTGAGAGGGGGAGGCGTGAGAAGGGGAGGTGTGAGAGGGGGAGGCGTGAGAAGGGGAGGTGTGAGAGGATGATGTGCCTCCTCGGCCAGGGTCCCCCAGAGATCTCTGCAGAGGAGAGGGAGAGTCCGTGAGAATGCGTTGCCATGGGCGGAATAGACGCCTCCTCAGCTGATAAGGGGGGGAAAAAGGGGAGAAGAAGAGAGGGGGACGAGAAGGGAACAAAGAAGCGGAGTTTCAGGGAGAGAGGTCGGCGGAGGTGAGAGGAGGGAGGGGAGAGAGGGGGAAAGAGACGACAGGGCAGAGGACAAAACACAGCAATTAAGATAGAAATTGCAAAAACTAGTGAATGAGGGAGAGAATGTGGAAGAGTGGTTTGGGAGGGCGGGGAAGTGGGCAATGGCAGACCTGGTGCAGGGCACACCTGGTGCAGGGCACACCTGGTGCAGGGCACACCTGGAGCAGGGCACACCTGGTGCAGGGCACACCTGGTGCAGGGCACACCTGGTGCAGGGGCGGGGGAACATTCAGCCTTCGTGAGGCTGCAGCCGCGTCACTCTCACATGCCGCCTGTTGGCCCTGCTGGGGCTGCTGCGTGTCCTCCCCGCCTCCCCCATCCCGCACCTCACTCTGCCCGCCCGCTGCACCTGCTTGGCCCACGAGCCCTTGCTCCCTCTCTGAGGTGGAACCACGCATGCACCACATGCACAACACCGCACACACACACACTTCAAAAACTTGTCAACATGCCATGCAAAGTGGAGTGGAAATGACGATTAAGCAGCCTCAGGAGATACCTGCAGACATGGTGCTGACAGCAGTGGCACTGCTCCCATGCGGTGCTGCGGCGGGTTGGACAGAGACGGGGCTTGGGCCGTCAAGGTGTGCATCGGTGATGGTGACGATGGGGGCGGGCGGGGGTCCTGTGGCCTTGAAGTGCACCCCCAGCAGCAGGCTGTAATCCATTATGTGCTGCTGCTCCAGGAACGCACAGTCTGCTGCTATCTGCCTGCATTGAGGGGGGAGGAGAGGCAGGAATGATTGAGATGGGGCTATTGGGGCTATTGGGGCTATTGGGGCTATTGGGGCTATTGGGGCTATTGGGATTTTTGAGGCACCTCAAGACGAACTACAACAAGCAGCGCACTTACTGCAGCAGCAGGGGACGCCAGGGCGGGTGGAGCAGAAACGCAAGGTCGAGATCAAGGTCCTTGAGAGTGGTGGTGTCATCCACGGCCACCTTGCCCGTGCTGCGCCCCTGCGACGACCCCTTGAGGTCGAAGCGCCGGTGCACGCGCAGCGGCGACACCAGCAGGTTGGCCATCACCACGAAGCGGATGACTGACTCGCGCCCGCCCGCCTTGGCGGCCAGGCGGGAGGTGGTGCGCGAGGAGGCGGTGTGGTAGATCTTGATTGCGTGCAGCCCGAAGAACTTGGTGAGCAGCGTGTGTGGGTTGTGCTTCACGTGGCGGTAGTAGGCGGGGAGCATGCGCAGGAGCACCTGGGGGAGAGCAGAGAGGGTGGGGTGGAAGGAGATGAAATTGGGATGAGGTATGACATGGGAGGTGGTGTGCGAAGAGGCAGTGTGGTAGATCTTGAAGGCGTGCAGGCCGAATAACTTGGTGAGCAGCGTGTGTGGGTTGTGCTTCACGTGGCGATAGTATGCGGGTAGCATGCGCAGGAGCACCTGGGGGAGGGGAGCGGGGATGGGGGTGGGGGCTGGGTTGGAAAGAGAAGGGAGTGGGATTGGGGATGGCATGGGATGCGCCAGCATGAACTTGACCCTCCCCATCATGCTCCCATGCACCCAGCAACTTGACCTGCCCATATCTGTGCCCACCTGCAGGTCAGCCTACCCACTTGCAGCACGGCGCTGCGCATGGTTTTTATGAGAAAGCGGTCGTTGTGCGAGAGGAAGAAGATGCTGCCATGCACCCAGCAACTTGCCCTGCCCCTGTCTCTACCCCACCTGCAGGTCACCTGCAGGTCACCTGCAGGTCACCCCACGCACCTGCAGCTCGGAGCTGCGCATGGTTTTGATGAGGAAGCGGTCGTCGTGCGAGAGGAAGAAGACGCTGCCTGACTTGCCCGGACTGCTCAGCTCCCTCAGCGCGTCGTCCCCGCACAGCGACACCATATAGTCTCCCGGGTCTATGCCAAACATGGCGCGCAGTGCCCTGAGAGAACAGGGGGAGACCGGGTGAAGAGGGAGTGAGAAGGCGCAACGAGAGAGAGTATGGGAAGGCACAGCGACACCATGTAGTCCCCCGGGTCTATGCCAAACATGGCTCGTAGCGCCCTGGCGGATGGGGGTGTGTGAGAGGGAAGATATGGTGAGACGGGAGGAAAGAACAAGTGCGAACGGGAAGGTGGAAGAAGTGGGGACTCTAGGACAGAGCAAAGCTATGAGTGGACCTGAAGGCGGCGGGGCAGTAGACGCGCCACTTGAAGGCGTGCATGGAGTGCGGCGGTGTGGTGGGTGAGCCGGCCGGGGGGAAGCAGGAAGAAGGGGAGGCAATAACACGGAAATCAAACCAACCTGAAGGCGGCGGGGCAGTAGTCGCGCCACTTGAAGGCGTGCATGGAGTGCGGCGGTGTGGTGGGTGAGCCGGCCGGGGGGAAGCAGGAAGAAGGGGAGGCAATAACACGGAAATCAAACCAACCTGAAGGCGGCGGGGCAGTAGTCGCGCCACTTGAAGGCGTGCATGGAGTGCGGCGGTGTGGTGGGTGAGCCGGCCGGGGGGAAGCAGGAAGAAGGGGAGGCAATAACACGGAAATCAAACCAACCTGAAGGCGGCGGGGCAGTAGTCGCGCCACTTGAAGGCGTGCATGGAGTGCGGCGGTGTGGTGGGTGAGCCGGCCGGGGGGAAGCAGGAAGAAGGGGAGGCAATAACACGGAAATCAAACCAACCTGAAGGCGGCGGGGCAGTAGTCGCGCCACTTGAAGGCGTGCATGGAGTGCGGCGGTGTGGTGGGTGAGCCGGCCGGGGGGAAGCAGGAAGAAGGGGAGGCAATAACACGGAAATCAAACCAACCTGAAGGCGGCGGGGCAGTAGTCGCGCCACTTGAAGGCGTGCATGGAGTGCGGCGGTGTGGTGGGTGAGCCGGCCGGGGGGAAGCAGGAAGAAGGGGAGGCAATAACACGGAAATCAAACCAACCTGAAGGCGGCGGGGCAGTAGTCGCGCCACTTGAAGGCGTGCATGGAGTGCGGCGGTGTGGTGGGTGAGCCGGCCGGGGGGAAGCAGGAAAAAGGGGAGGCAATAACACGGAAATCAAACCAACCTGAAGGCGGCGGGGCAGTAGTCGCGCCACTTGAAGGCGTGCATGGAGTGCGGCGGTGTGGTGGGTGAGCCGGCCGGGGGGAAGCAGGAAGAAGGGGAGGCAATAACACGGAAATCAAACCAACCTGAAGGCGGCGGGGCAGTAGTCGCGCCACTTGAAGGCGTGCATGGAGTGCGGCGGTGTGGTGGGTGAGCCGGCCGGGGGGAAGCAGGAAGAAGGGGAGGCAATAACACGGAAATCAAACCAACCTGAAGGCGGCGGGGCAGTAGTCGCGCCACTTGAAGGCGTGCATGGAGTGCGGCGGTGTGGTGGGTGAGCCGGCCGGGGGGAAGCAGGAAAAAGGGGAGGCAATAACACGGAAATCAAACCAACCTGAAGGCGGCGGGGCAGTAGTCGCGCCACTTGAAGGCGTGCATGGAGTGCGGCGGTGTGGTGGGTGAGCAGGCCGGGGGGAAGCAGGAAGAAGGGGAGGCAATAACACGGAAATCAAACCAACCTGAAGGCGGCGGGGCAGTAGTCGCGCCACTTGAAGGCGTGCATGGAGTGCGGCGGTGTGGTGGGTGAGCCGGCCGGGGGGAAGCGCACAGCCGGGCAGTGGGAGAAGTCCGCCGGGCCCACGTCCCTCTGCGCGTCTGGCGTGATCCTCCCCACACTGTACCTGTTGAGGGGACGAGGGGAGTGTGAATGGGAGGTGGGATGAGCATGTGAGTCATGCGGTGGAGAGGAGAGGAAAGGTGGTATGCACTATGCAGGAGAGGAGCTCTGTTCAACCAACCCACCTCGCCACCCCAGCAAGCACACGAGCATCGCATCATTGGCAGCACCCCATTACCCCATCACCCCATCATCACATCATCCCATCACCCCATCACCCCATCATCCGATCAACCCATCACACCCATCACCCCCATCACATCGCATCACCCCTATCACATCGCATCACCCCCATCACCCCCATCACACAACATCACCCCCATCACATCGCATCACCCCCATCACCCCCATCACATTGCATCACCCCCATCACCCCCATCACATCGCATCACCCCCATCACCCCCATCACCCCCATCACATCACATCACCCCCATCACATCGCATCACCCCCATCACCCCCATCACATCACATCACCCCCATCACATCGCATTACCCCCATCACCCCCATCACATCGCATCATCCCCATCACCCCCATCACCCCCATCACTCCATCACATCGCATCATCCCCATCACCCCCATCACATCGCATCACCCCCATCATCCCCATCACATCGCATCACCCCCATCACCCCCATCACCCCCATCATCCCCATCACCCCCATCACCCCCATCACTCCCATCACATCGCATCACCCCCATCACCCCCATCACCCCCATCACCCCCATCACATCGCATCACCCCCATCACCCCCATCACCCCCATCATCCCCATCACCCCCATCACATCGCATCACCCCCATCACCCCCATCACATCGCATCACCCCCATCACCCCCATCACCCCCATCACCCCTATCACCCCCATCACCCCCATCACCCCCATCATCCCCATCACCCCCATCATCCCCATCACCCCCATCATCCCCATCACTCCCATCACATCGCATCACCCCCATCACCCCCATCACATCGCATCACCCCCATCACCCCCATCACCCCCATCACCCCTATCACCCCCATCACCCCCATCACCCCCATCATCCCCATCACCCCCATCACTCCCATCACCCCCATCACCCCCATCACCCCCATCACCCCCATCATCCCCATCACCCCCATCACATCGCATCACCCCCATCACCCCCATCATCCCCATCACCCCCATCATCCCCATCACTCCCATCACATCGCATCACCCCCATCACCCCCATCACATCGCATCACCCCCATCACCCTCATCATCCCCATCACCCTCATCGCCCCCATCACTCCCATCACCCACATCACCCCCATCACATCGCATCACCCCCATCACCCTCATCATCCCCATCACACTCATCGCCCCCATCACTCCCATCACATCGCATCACCCCCATCACCCCCATCACCCCCATCACCCCCATCACATCGCATCACCCCCATCACCCCCATCACCCCCATCATCCCCATCACCCCTATCACCCCCATCAACCCCATCACCCCCATCACACCCATCACCCCCATCATCCCCATCACCCCCATCACCCCCCATCACCCCCATCACCCCCATCACCCACATCACCCACATCACCCCCATCACCCCCATCACCCCCATCACAGCATCACCCCCATCACCCCCATCACAGCATCACCCCCATCACCCCCATCACCCCATCACCCGCATCACACCATCACCCCAGCAGCACAAGGCACAAGGCACACCGGAGGCCGAGCTGCAGCGTGCGCATGAGCAGGTAGCTGCGGTGGCCCTTGTAGATCAGCTCGCCAGCCCTCTTGCCCTCCCTGCCCCTCGGCACGTGCCACCGCTGCCTCCCACCCCCACACACGGGTCACGCAGGGAGGGGGGAGAGCAGAGCAGAGCAGCATGGGAAGGGCGGGATAGAAGAGTGGCACGGGAAGGAAGGGCAGGGGGGGGAAGGGGAAGGTGAAGGTGGGAGCATGGGCTAGCAGCGATGCATGCAGGTGCAAATGACTCGTGGTTGGTTTGTGTTTCCATGCTCCTTGCATGCTTCCTCGCCCTCCACACAAACCAACCACGAATCATTTGCGGTTCGTGCTTCCAGTGCAATGCATACTGGTGGGCATTCTCCTTGCATACATCCTCGCCCACCACACCTCCACCACACACACTGCCACAGGCACAGGCATGGCAGCACACAAACAGAAAGCAGGGAGCAGGCTTACCGGGGGGTGGGAGTGGGAGGAGAGGGGCTGTTGCACCACCAGCACGCCGTGCACATACTCCCTCACCATCACTGCATCCTCCTTTGATGCGCCTCAACACAAACACACACACACACACACACACACACACACACACACACACACACACACACACACACACACACACACACACACACACACACACACACACACACACAACAGCCTTACCGGGGGGTGGGAGTGGGAGGAGAGGGGCTGCTGTGCAACGAGCATGCCGTGCACGTACTCCCTCACCATCACTGCATCCTCCACCGCCTCTACTGCTGCCACCTGCCCCATGCTGTACCCCTTCCCCCGCCCCCGCCCCCGCCTCCTCCCCTCCGCGCGCCCGTGCCCTTGCACTCCCCCTTCCCCATGGCCTCCCCCTCCCCCTCCCCCTCCCCCGGGTCCTCCTTCTTGCACTCCCCCATCCGCGCCCCTTGGCGCATGATGGTGCATGTGTGAGCGTGGCGAGTGTGGAGGGGCACGCATCTGCTCTGAGCCATCGCCATGCACCTCACACGCACCGCCCTCGCCTCCCCCGTTTGATCGCAGCACCGCTGCCTCTCCTGACTGCTCCCCACTCGTCACCTCCATCTCTCCGCCCTCCTCCCTTGCCTCCTGCGCCCCACAATCCCTTCCACTGCGCGCCTCCCCCTCAGCATACTGCTGGCCTCGCCCCGGCACAGGGCCCATGGTCAGAGCGCGCGTGATAGCCCGCGGTGACCTTACCCCCTCCGCCCCACCTGCCCCCGTCGCCACTGCTGACGCCCCACTCGCTGTTGAGCTGGCAGCTACGGCTGCTGAGCTGGCAGCAGCACCTGCTGAGTTGAATGCGGCAGGTCCCACGTTGGCAGCAGCAGCAGGGCCTGGGGTGGAGGTGGGGGCAGCGGGGGAAGGGGAGGGGGAGGGAGCAGCAAGGGGGGCGCGGAGGGCCAGGTGGGGGCGCCAGCGCACAGGGGGTTCCTCCCTCCACACCTTCCAGTTGTCCTGCCGCCCCTCCATATCCACCTCCGACACGTGGCTCGCTGTCATTGGCCGCGAGACAGCAGCGTTTCTGCCAACACCCTTCTCTTCGTCCTCTTCCTCTTCCACCTGAGTGCCTCCTATTTCTCCTACTCTCCCACTGTGCCGCCGGCCCCTACTCCCATGCATCCCCACTACCTTCTCCCCTTGCATCTCGCCCCCCTCCCCCGCCTCCCCCCTTTCCCTCGCCTGGTCTGCCCGCGCCTGCAGCGGCCCCGACAAGCACTTGCGCCCCCCTTTCCTGCTGCCAGGGCTGCCACGTGTGCTGCTGCTATTGGCCGACGACAGGCCAATAAAAAAGTCGTCACTGGGCTGGCGCGCATGGCACAGACCCCGCCCAGCCGCCAGGGGCGAGCGGGGAAGGGGCGGGGGGGGGCGGCCAGGTGGCAGGGGCGAGCGCGCGGGGACAGGAGGGGGGCGCCCGCCAGGCTTGGCACGGGGGGAGGGCATGGTGGCGAAGGTGAGAGGGTGGGGGGGAAATCTGTGATATCCCCCGTCTGCCCCGTTCTCCCATGGCTCTCTATCCGCCTTCTCCCTCACCCCCCTCGCCCCGCTTACCATGCCCATTTCCAATTCCCTCTCTGCACCACTTCCCGCTGCCTCTCTCCCACCCACCACTGCCGCTTCACCGCTGCTTCCTTCCCATTGGCTGCTCTCCGCACCGCTGCCAATGAGCGGCCGCCACGTGTCCGCGTCAATCACTGCCCTGCCCGTGCTGGCCTGCCCGCCGCCCTTACTCCCTTCTCCCTCAACCTTCTCGCCCCTGCCTTCCCCTCTTGACCTTCCCCCCATCGCAATCACCACCCTTTCCTCCCTTCCCTCCCTCTCCCTCTCCTCCCTCACCCCAACTCCCTCCCTTCCCTCCCTCTCCCTCTCCTCCCTCACCCCAACTCCCTCCCTTCCCTCCACACCCCCCTCCCTCCTCTCTGCCCCTTTCTCCACACCACCTTCCCCCTCCCGCGCGCTTGGCCTGCCCTCCCGCGCGCTTGGCCTGCCCTCTCCGCGGCCAAGCGAGGAGGAGTCAGGGCGGGGCATGGCGGGAACAGCGTCAGCCGCCAGGTACACACTCCCCGTCGGCCCCAATGCCACCTCCAGCGCCCTCGTCCCCGCTGTAAGCCGCTTCTGTAACAACCTCTGCACGCCCTTCACCCCCCCTGTACCTCCCCCTCCCCCTGTTGCTGCTGCTGCACCGCCCCTCCGAGCCAGCCTCCCCGAACCTGAGCTCGCCGAGCCAGCATTGAACGAGCCTGAGCTTAGGTCTGGAGCCTGCTTGGACAGCAGCATGGCGCCAGGTGCTGCCTGCCCCGCAGCAGCCCTTTCCCCCGCACTTGCACCCGCCACACTCGCCCCTGACGCCGCTGCCACTGCCGTTGGTGCTGCAACGGCCGCCAGAGCACCATCAACGTCATCAGGACTGCACCCGTTAATAATTGCAACTGCAGCAGCACTGTTTCCCACTGCACCCCCTTGCCCTGCCTCTCCCCCCATCTCCTCCCCTTTCTCCTCGCCTTCCAATCCCCATCCCTCCTCCTCATCCTCTTCCTCCTCCGCTCCCTCCCCGTCCCCATCAACATCCCCCTCCTCCTCCTCCTCCTCCTCCTCCTCCTCCTCCGCCTCCTCCCCCTCTTCCTCCTCCCCCTCATCCCCATCCCTCTCCTCCCCCGTCCCCGCCTCCCTTTCCCCCCTCTCCCCAGCGTCCCCTGCGCCACGCGCGCACCCAGCGGGGTAGAACACGCCCTTACCGTCCTTAAGCCCGCGGCTCCACGTACCCTCATAACGGCTACCGTCGCGCCACGCGAACACGCCCACGCCGTGCTCCACGCCCTCCTCCCATTCGCCCTCGTACCGCTCGCCGCTCGCCCACGTGAAAGTGCCGCACCCGCTCATCGTCCCCCCCTCCCACTCGCCGAAATACTCGTTCCCGTTCGCCCACACGTACCGCCCCGGCCCGTGCGCCGCGCCGAACGACCAGAAGCCCTCGTAACGGTCCCCGTTAGGGTAGAGCTTGCGCCCTAGCCCGTGCTTGACTCCCCCCGCCCAGTTCCCCGTGTAAAACGACCCGTCCGCGCCCCAGTAGCTCCCCACGCCCTGCATCTGCCCGCGCGCCCACTCGCCCTTGTAGCGCGCGCCCGACGGCCACACGAACAGCCCCTGCCCGTGCTTCTCCCCGCGCGCCCACTCCCCCTCGTACACGCTCCCGTCCGCCCACACGTAGCACCCCGCGCCGTGCGGCACGTCCCACGCCGCCCCCCACTGCCCGCGGTACGAGTCGCCGTTGGGGAACTCGCGGGAGACCTCCGCGGAAGGGTCTTCCCCCCGCCCGGCGCCGCTTCCGCGCGCGGCGGGGGGCGACGGGCGCAAGGCGCGGCAGGGGGACGTGGAGGAAGTGGAGGATTGGCGCGGGAAAGAGGGGAGGGGGGAGCGGGATGCGGAGAGAACAGAGGCAACGACGAGGGAGGCGGAAGAGGAGTTTGTGAGGGAGCGCGATCGGCCAATTGCGTTGACGGAAGTGGGGGAGGGCGCGGAGGGGAGCAGCATGGAGGAAGGCGCGGAGGGTACGTCGGGCGCGCGAGGCTGGTCCCGCTCGTTGAAGCTCCCCATGGGGGGCGGACTGCGGGAAAAAGCTATGCACCCAAATGAGCAGTAGATTGAGAGCGGTGGAACTCGGTTCACTTCGGTGAGATCTGACCAGAGAGTTGTGGGTTTCTAGAAAGCGGAATTGAACGAAACGGCGAACGCGCCGGCGCAGAGCTGGTTGAAAGGACGATGACGAGCCTCAGATGATTGATACCCGCTACAAGCAGGGACTGGAGCGACCATCAGACGCTCCGCTATAAGCTACAAAGGTGGATATGTTGCGCGTGACATCGAGAGACGAACGATGGCGTACGCAACGGCGCCAATGAATTCGGCTGAAACTGGGTGTGCGACGATCCCTAGCTTGCGTGCGACAATCCCTAGCCTTTGTGCGACAATCGCTCCGCTTCGCCCGACAATTCCAAGGCGTCATCATGCTGTTCGTAGGCCTCCAGCGACATAACTCAGACTTGTGCGACGATGTCAACTCAGCCGCTTGTGTAACGATTACTACTGTACTAGGCTTCACGCGGCAAGCCCTAAGCAACTCGCTAAAATTTCCGCAAGAATCTCCCTGATGCGAGGTGGGTGACGGTTAGCACCTCCCCAATTGAAGCCTGGCGGCGACACATGGCGATGCTACTTGCTGCTCTGGCACTTGGGTTGGGAAAAGAGTCGAAGACCCAGAGTGCCTGGAATGGTAGGCAAGAAGTCATGGACCATGTATGACTTGATCTGATGAACCATATGGTGAGCGGAGTGGGGAGGAGCGAGCACCACCGTGCACTGTCCATGATGGATGGTGCGTGACATGGGCCTTCGAATGTCGGTGGGACTCGACAGGTTCGACTCGATAAGAGAGCATGGAATTGTGGCAATCGCGGTTATATTATTCCATGACAGTTACAAGCAATTAGAGACATACAAGCATGCATGATACCATTTGCCACAATCAACTCTTCCACACAACCAACCGCAGGAAAGAAGAAACTGCCACCTGCCATCAATCCAAAGAATATCAAATCTGCCACCTGGGAGCATCTAACATTTCAAGGACTTGTCCTTTCTGCTGCTGCTGCTGTTGCTGCTGCCAGTTGCCAGCTAGTTGGCATACTTCTCCACATCCTTGACAGCACCATGCACCTTCTCCCCATGGGCAAACAGGAACCCAGCGCCCTCCACACGCGCCGCCGCGCGCGCATTGCCATAGTGCAGCCACGTCAGCACCACCGCAGCCACCAGCACAGCCGCCAGCACCGCAGCGCCGAAGGCAATGCCGAATATGACACCCGCGGACAGCTGCTCGCAGTTGCAGGTCAGCTGGGGGGCGGGGGCAGCCGGCTCAGCCGTGGCAGCGGGCTTCGCCACAACAGCAGGCTCAGCTGCAGGATCAGCGTCAGCAGGCGTGGCGGTGTCAGTGGTGGGAGTGGTGGGCTGGGTGGGAGTGGGCGTGGTGAAGTCAGCAGCTGTGGACCCATCAGGCATGGGCTCGTCGTCGGCAGCAGTGCGATTCTGAACGAGCGAGAGAAGAGCAGCAGTAGTGGGATCAGTGGCATCAGCAGCAACGGGCTTGCCGTCAGGGCCGCACATGGGGAGGTAGGGTGCGTCACAGAGGCCGTCGTTGTGGTCGTAGAAGAACGTGTCTGCTACCAGCAGACTCGTGGGCACGGCGCCCTGCAGCTGGTTGCTTGACAGGTCGCTGCATGCACACAGCAGCGCAGGGCAGAGCAGTGTAGGGTTTAGGGGAGGGGAGGGGTCGCGAGTGGTTGCATTGGTAAAGGCTGGGGGAATGATGTGGATTGGAGGGGCACGCATGCAGGTGTGAAGAGGGGAAATGGGGGGCCATGGACAGTGGTGTGAGTGGGTTGGGATGGGTGACGTACACAGTGAGGCGCACGGTGTTGCGGTTGGCGTAGAGGCCCAGGCTGTTGGGAATGCCGCCCGTGAGCTTGTTGCTCGTCAGGTTGCTGCGGTGCAGCCACGCACACACACATGCACACAGAGCGACAGAGAGTCAACAAGACATGCAGGCGCGCAGGCAGGCAGGCAGGGAGGTACTGAGAAGTAGGCATGTGGAAGAGGGCGACGCAGTGCAGCGGCCGCTGGTGAGCAAAGCCAGCAGGTGAGCAAAGCCAGCAGGTGAGCAAAGCCAGCAGGTGAGCAAAGCCAGCAGGTGAGCAAAGAGGTGGGGGCGTAGAGGTGGGCGGTGGGAGGGTGGGGGCGTAGAGGTGGGCGGTGGGAGGGTGGGGGCGTAGAGGTGGGCGGTGGGAGGGTGGGGGCGTAAAGGTGGGCGGTGGGAGGGTGGGGGCGTAGAGGTGGGCGGTGGGAGGGTGGGGGCGTAGAGGTGGGCGGTGGGAGGGTGGGGGCGTAGAGGTGGGCGGTGGGAGGGTGGGGGCGTAGAGGTGGGCGGTGGGAGGGTGGGGGCGTAGAGGTGGGCGGTGGGAGGGTGGGGGCGTAGAGGTGGGCGGTGGGAGGGTGGGGGCGTAGAGGTGGGCGGTGGGAGGGTGGGGGCGTAGAGGTGGGCGGTGGGAGGGTGGGGGCGTAGAGGTGGGCAGTGGGAGGGTGGGGGCGTAGAGGTGGGCGGTGGGAGGGTGGGGGCGTAGAGGTGGGCGGTGGGAGGGTGGGGGCGTACAGGAAGGCGCTGGTGTTGGTGACGGTGCAGGCAGCAAAGAAGCGCGGCATCTTGCCACGGAAGGAGTTGCTGCTCAGGTCACTGCACGGCCCGCCACAGCAGGCACACACATGGCAGGGGGCGAGGGCGGGAGGGCAGGGGGCGAGGGCGGGAGGGCAGGGGGCGAGGGCGGGAGGGCAGGGGAAGGAGTGGACAGGGTGTGGGGCGTTACGGGGTGAGATGTTGCAAGCACACTGGGGCGAGGAAGGTATGGGGGGAAGGCAGGCAGAGGAATGAGAGGCATGTGGCGTGGGCGGGAGGGAACGGGTTCGGCGCTTACATGTAATAGAGACTGGGCAGCTCGGCGAGTGAAGGAGGGAGGGAGCCGACCAGCTTGTTCTGGGAGAGGTCCCTGCCGGGTGGGGACGGATGCGAACAGAGTGCGCAAGAGAAGATGCGATGAGTGCATGAGGGAAGCGAGGGAGGCATGGATGATGTGAGGGTTGCAAGGAAGCGTCGTGACAAGGTTCTGCACGGTGGTGAAGCCATGGCTTGGCATGGCATGAAGCTTTGCGAGCATGGGGCAAGGCATGAGGCACGAGGCAGGGGCGAGAGGAGCGAGGGGGGTGAGAGGAGCGAGGGGGGTGAGAGGAGCGAGGGGGGCGAGAGGAGCGAGGGAGGCGAGAGGAGCGAGGGAGGCGAGAGGAGCGAGGGAGGCGAGAGGAGCGAGGGAGGCGAGAGGAGCGAGGGAGGCGAGAGGAGCGAGGGGGGCGAGAGGAACGAGGGGGGCGAGAGGAACGAGGGGGGCGAGAGGAACGAGGGGGGCGAGAGGAACGAGGGGGGCGAGAGGAAGGAGGGGGGCGAGAGGAAGGAGGGGGGCGAGAGGAAGGAGGGGGGCGAGAGGAAGGAGGGGGGCGAGAGGAACGAGGGGGGCAAGAGGAACGAGGGGGGCGAGGGGGGCGAGGGGGGCGACGCCACGCACAGCTGCTGAAGCTTCTCGGCAGCGGCAAAGACGTCCGGCAGGGCGCCCTCGAGCCGGTTGTTGTAGAGCACTCTGTGGTGTGGAGCGGAGAGGGGAGCGGGCAGCGGGAACGGGGCAGCGAGGGAACAGAAGGTGAGATGTGAGACAGCGAGTGGAGGGCGAAGACGTCCGGCAGGGCGCCCTCCAGCCGGTTGTTGTAGAACACTCTGAGGGGCGAGCAGACGGGGGGGAGCGGGCAGGGGAAGGGCGAAGGGGGATTTTGTCAGCCGGTTGTTGTAGAGCACTCTGTGGGGCGACCAGAGAGAGGGAGGGGCGCGCAGGGGAAGGGCGACGGGGGAATTTGTGAGTCTAGCAGTTTTTGTAGAGCACTCTGTGGGGCGCGCAGACGGGGGGGAGGGAACTGGCAGGGGGCAGTACCGTAATGAGCAGCCAGCAGGTGAGATGTGAGACACGGAGGGGAGGGGAAGGGGACAGGATACAAAGGATTAGCAGAGGCAGGGCAGAGGGGCGGTAGATGGGTGGCAGAGGGGCGGTAGAGTAGGGCAGCTCACATGTCCTGGACGTTGGGCGAGGAGATGAGGTCTCTGGGCAGCACTCCTGAGAGCTGGTTCGAGGAGAGGTCACTGCAGCCACACAGGGAGGCGAGGGACAGGGGGATCGGGCCGGAGGGGAGAGAGTCAGAGGGGGAGAGAAGCAGCAGGGAGAGGGTCAGTGAAGAACGTAATGAAAGTCAGCAGCAGAAGCAGCAGCAGCAGCAGCAGCAGCAGCAGCTAAGGTGTGAAGTGCGCAGAATGCAGTGTGCGGTGTGTGGGTGGCACTGACATGTGGGCGATGTTGGAGAGCCCCTTGGGCAGCTCGCCCGTCAGCTGGTTCTGCGCCAGGTCCCTGCCATGCCAGCAGCACACACACACACACACACACACACACACACACACACACACACACACACACACACACACACACACACACACACACACACACACACAGGGGCATGGCACACACAGGGGCATGGGGGGGTGTTGAGTGGAGGAGGGCAAAGGTTAACTGATTCTGCAACATGTGACTGCCTGCAGGGAGAGACACGTGGTGCGTGGGGAGGGCGACGAGTGAGGAAAATCAGGAGATTGGAGTGGATCTAGGAGAGCGATGATGGGGCTGGGACGGGTGGCGTTGACGTGTAGAGATCAGGGGAAGCAGGATGCGGCACTGACAGGTATTGCAGGTTGGTGAGCGACGGCAGGTTGAGCTTGGCGACAGGGCCACTGAGCATCACATTGCGCAGCGTGCTGTGGGCAGGGGGGCGGAGAGAGGGGGAGGGGAGATGGGGCGGGGAGATGGAGAGGGGAGATGGAGAGAGGCGGTTAGGAAAATGAAGGGGCAGGTAAGGCGGAGAATAGACAGAGCGAGAGGAACCGGGGGAGAGGGGCAAGATGAGAGGAAGACCCGTCTACAGCATGCCCCAGCAGCCACTCCCAGCGACGCGCGCGGCAACGGCAGTGGCAGCAGTGGCAGCAGCGGCGGCAGCGGCAGCAGCTCACAGGCTTTGGAGGTTGGCGAATTTGGAGAGGTCGAGCTCGTCCGTGGTGATGCCCAGCGCCACGTTGTAGATCTCCCTGCCGGGGGGGGAGAGAGCCGGAGGGGAAGAGGGGGAGAGGGGGAGGCGACAGGGGACACGCGGGTGAGATGGAGAAGTTGGAGAGGTCGAGCTCCCCCGTGGTGATGCCCAGCGCCACGTTGTAGATCTCGCTGCCGGGGGGGAGAGAGCGGGAGGGGGAGGGGGGTGGCGGGAGGAAACGGGGAGGCAACTTCTGAGGCAGGCGCCTCAAGAGAGGTCGAGCTCCCCCGTGGTGATGCCCAGCGCCACGTTGTAGATTTCCCTGCCGGGGGGGAGAGCGCGGGAGGGGGAGGGGGGTGGCGGGAGGGATGCATGCTCAGTGAAGTCCGCATGCATGCACGGCATGGCACGGCCCACGGCACAGGGAGGGAGCAGGGGTGCAGGGAGCACTGGCATGGGGGAGAGTTGTGTGAGACGCAGTGGCGTGCAATGTCAGCGCATGGGTGAGTGCAGTGAGCAAGCACGCAGGGCAGCACAGCACACGGCCCAGGGAGCAGGGCGCAGAGCGCAGGGAGCAGGGCGCAGGGAGCAGGGCGCAGGGAGCAGGGCACAGGGAGCAGGGCGCAAGGAGCAGGGCGCAGGGAGCAGGGCGCAGGGAGCAGGGCGCAGGGCGCAGGGAGCAGGGCGCAGGGAGCAGGGCGCAGGGAGCAGGGCGCAGGGCGCAGGGAGCAGGGCGCAGGGCCCAGGGAGCAGGGCGCAGGGCGCAGGGGCTACTGACAGCGAGTCGAGCTGCGTGAGGGTCAGGAGCGTGTCCACCAGGCCCTCCTTCTTCAGCCCCACGCTGTAGAACTTCCTGCAGGGGCGGACGCACAGGGACGGGGGAGAGGGGATGGAGAAGCGCGGAGGAGGACAAGGCGGTATGCAGGGATGGGACGTCACTCTGGAGATGCATGGCACGGCATGGCATGGCATGGCATGGCATGGCATGGCACGGCACGGCATGGCATGGCATGGCATGGCATGGCACGGCATGGCATGGCATGGCATGGCATGGCATGGCACGGCATGGCATGGCATGGCATGGCATGGCATGGCACGGCATGGCATGGCATGGCATGGCATGGCATGGCATGGCATGGCACGGCATGGCATGGCGGAAGGCGAGGCGAAGAAGCAAGCGAAGGGGGGGGGGGGGGGGGGGGGGGTGGAAAGGGGGAGTCGGAAGGCGAGGGGGAGCGGGAGGGCGAGGGCGAGGGGGAGGGGGAGGGCGAGGGGGAGGGGGAGGGGGAGGGCGAGGGGGAGGGCGAGGGGGAGGGGGAGGGGGAGGGGGAGGGGGCGTACAGGTGGTGGAGGTTGTCGAGGTCGGCGATGAGCGGACTGAGCGTGCCTCTCATGGCGCCCGATAGGGAGCTGCACGGGATGGGGTGCAGTGCAGGTGGGCGGGGAGAGAAGGGGCGAGGGTAGGAGAGGGGAGGAGATGGGAGGAGATGTGTGCTGTGTGCGCGACAGAAGGACAGCGAAGCACGCGGTGCAAGGGACGGGCCATGGCAGCAGAAGCAGCAGCAGCATGCGGTAACGGATTGCCGCAAGCAGCAGCAGACAGACGCTCGCTCGCAGACCACAGTGTAAACAAAAAGGAATGAAAAAAAAAGGGAAGAGAGAAGAGGGGCATGAGAGGGAGGGACTGACATGCCGACGATGGTGTAGTTGCCTCAGGGCGTCTGGTTGCAGGTCACCTGCGGCGCTTTTTGAGAAATGTCAAGTCAAGAGGCGCGAGCGATGAGATAGAGCGGCTTACATGCCGACGATGGTGTAGTTGCCATCGGGCGTCTGGTCGCACATGACCTCGGGCGCCCACCCCAGCGGCCCGCAGATGTCCCCCGCGTCGCCCCAGCCGGGCAGCCACGTCTGCACCGCGTCCACGCCCAACGCGTCGCGGATCGCATGCATCGCCGCCACTGGCGGAGGGGTGAGGGGGAGGCGCGCGGGGTGGGAGAGACGAGGGACGAGACGAGTTAAAGGGATGAGACAAGAGGCAGAGAGTGGCACGAAAGGGGCGGAGAGGCAGAGAGTGGCACGAAAGGGGCGGAGAGGCAGAGAGTGGCACGAAAGGGGCGGAGAGGCAGAGAGTGGCACGAAAGGGGCGGAGAGGCAGAGAGTGGCACGAAAGGGGCGGAGAGGCAGAGAGTGGGAGCAGCAGTAGCGGCGGCACGAGCAGCAGTAGCGGCGGCACGAGCAGCAGCAGCAGCCGCGGTGGTACAGTGGAGCGACTCACCCTCCTTGTCGGGGGTGACGCCAGTGACGGGATCAGCGCCAGCAGCGGAGCCGGCGAGCACGGCGAGGGCGAGCAGGCAGAGCGCGGCAGCCGCCACGGCAGGCGGCGACGAGCGAGCAGCGCAACGAGGAGACGCCATGGGGACTGGAAACCGGTCGAACACGCAGCGAGAACGGTGTGAGGAAACGGTGCGAGAGAGTATCTGAGCAGCCTAAGAGACGGAAATGGTGCAAGAAAAGCGGGTCTGGGGAGGGCACGAGGGGGCTTTGAACTGGCTTCCTCGCAGCGGAGGATGAGAGAGAAGGCGAATGGGTCGGTGAGGTCTGGCGCAAAGCGACTGTGGAGTTCGAACTGCGAGTCTGCCGACATTTATGCGTTCACGCGGCCGCGTGCCAGTCGGCCCTCGGATGGCGCAATTCGCCGCACCCAACGGAGGTTACCGACCCAGAAGGAGCGAGAGGCGTGCTGGTGGTGGGCCAGCGGTTATCGCTGCCTGACAGGCACCCAGGGATCTTTGCACGAGACTGGCTCGCATGGCTCGTGGAGTGCGGCGCGGGTAATCCTTTCGTGCCATTCGCGGTTGGGGCCCACAACGGCCGCTCGCGGAGACGCTGGCTGCGTCCCATGCCGTTGAATCTAACCGCCGCTACCCGCAGCGCACGAAGAGTTACGCGTAGCCGCAGGGCACGGAGGGGTATACATGTCCCTGCAGGAAGGGACTGGTGGAGTTGACTCGTTGCAAACGGCCACGGGTCGTCCTGATGCTACGCGACAAAAACCAGGGCGGGCTTGAGGTAAGAAGCTGTTTCTCCCACTACCACTCTAATCCCGGGACTTAGAGAGATCAAAGCAGTTGCCCGCAACCGCGCAGTGATCCCTCGACGGTGGCTACTGGCAGGCGATGCGGGACAGTACAGTGATGCTGGCGACGGTTGGTTTGTAGTGTCACCTGCAGCAACTGTCGGTATTTTAGGCCTCGGATTTTGTACGCGGTGGAAGGAATTGTTGGAACGACAACTCGTTTGAGACATCTGAAGGGGAGATTTCTTCATCTACAGATAGATAACGGCTTGCAGAAGTACCATACATGACACCAAATGCAACAACACAGAAAAGCCACAAGTAGTACCATATTACATTCATGCATCTACGGACTGAAAAAGAAACTTTATTATAACTAGACTTGGTAAATCTATCGACACATGTGAGTCTGATGGTTGATGCATTCTGTACCACACATACCTATAAGGGCGTATCTTTGGTTCCGGTCATGAGCACTGTTCATTCTACTGTTTGGGTCATGCGTAAATTGCGCATGACCCGAAGTGGGCTGCCGAGCCACGCGCGGCCCCAGCTTTGGGTCAATGTTGCTGGGCTAATAAAAGCCCTTAGGATCTTTGCAGGACTAAATTCTGAGTAGGACAAAGTAGTAGCAGAAGTGTTTTAATGAAAGGTTTGTGAACCACCTTGCGCTAGGATGTGAGGGCAAAGTAGATTGATTAAAACAAAGAGATACAAGCTTTTATAAGAGTACAAGGGAATATGAAGGGTTATAACTAATAACTGTTTTGCTGTTGTTGTTGCGGTTCGATACAGTGACGACTTGAGCAACTGCTCAATAACGAGTCAGTTGTTTGTCCTTGCTGTCGCACTGTGCTTGTCAGGTCAAAGGTCGCTGACCTTTGACTTTCGCGTTGTTACAATCCCAAGTGGGACTTAGCAAAGGATCGCTCAGGGTTGATCGCGGAGTAGTGTTGCAGCGGAAGTTTGAATCTCAGGTCAGAGTGAATGTAAATGACTGAGTTGATAATAGCATGCATACATCGAGTTTATATAAGAGTACAAGGGAATACGAAAGGACCTAGACTAGCCATGTACTCTAAGGGGTACATTCCCTTATTACAACTGAATTCAGAAACCGTGCGGCGCGGGAACCCGTTCAAAACCTGTTCCCGCTCTTTTCACTTCAAATGTTTCTGCCTGCATCGGTCTTGGTCTGATGGTTGCTGCGTCGCTTCGGCTCTTCTGACTCCTCAACTTCGTACTCGGTGGAGTCGGCTCCTGCAGCATACAGGAATGCCTTCTCATAAAACTTCACATCGTAACACTCCCCTTCATTCCTGGGCGCGGGTGGAGCTGACTCGCTTGACTACTCCGGTGAGATCAGAGCAGTGCTTATACTGCTGACGTGGCAGGCGCTTGGTGAGGAAGTCTGCTGCCATCTCAGTGGTCGGGCAGTAAGCGAGGTCTACTTTGCCTTGGTCGATTTCGTCCTTGACGAAAAAGTACCGAAGCAAGATGTGCTTCGTGCGGTTCACGAATCCTGGGTTGTTCGCGATTTTGATGGCACTCTGGTTGTCACAGTGAAGGCGAAAGGTAGGCGAGGTTGGAATTTTCGCCTCCTGCAGCAGCTCTTGCAGGTACAGGCCTTCACGAACTGCTGCTGTCGCCATGGGGACTGGAAACCGGTCGAACACGCAGCGAGAACGGTGTGAGGAAACGGTGCGAGAGAGTATCTGAGCAGCCTAAGAGACGGAAATGGTGCAAGAAAAGCGGGTCTGGGGAGGGCACGAGGGGGCTTTGAACTGGCTTCCTCGCAGCGGAGGATGAGAGAGAAGGCGAATGGGTCGGTGAGGTCTGGCGCAAAGCGACTGTGGAGTTCGAACTGCGAGTCTGCCGACATTTATGCGTTCACGCGGCCGCGTGCCAGTCGGCCCTCGGATGGCGCAATTCGCCGCACCCAACGGAGGTTACCGACCCAGAAGGAGCGAGAGGCGTGCTGGTGGTGGGCCAGCGGTTATCGCTGCCTGACAGGCACCCAGGGATCTTTGCACGAGACTGGCTCGCATGGCTCGTGGAGTGCGGCGCGGGTAATCCTTTCGTGCCATTCGCGGTTGGGGCCCACAACGGCCGCTCGCGGAGACGCTGGCTGCGTCCCATGCCGTTGAATCTAACCGCCGCTACCCGCAGCGCACGAAGAGTTACGCGTAGCCGCAGGGCACGGAGGGGTATACATGTCCCTGCAGGAAGGGACTGGTGGAGTTGACTCGTTGCAAACGGCCACGGGTCGTCCTGATGCTACGCGACAAAAACCAGGGCGGGCTTGAGGTAAGAAGCTGTTTCTCCCACTACCACTCTAATCCCGGGACTTAGAGAGATCAAAGCAGTTGCCCGCAACCGCGCAGTGATCCCTCGACGGTGGCTACTGGCAGGCGATGCGGGACAGTACAGTGATGCTGGCGACGGTTGGTTTGTAGTGTCACCTGCAGCAACTGTCGGTATTTTAGGCCTCGGATTTTGTACGCGGTGGAAGGAATTGTTGGAACGACAACTCGTTTGAGACATCTGAAGGGGAGATTTCTTCATCTACAGATAGATAACGGCTTGCAGAAGTACCATACATGACACCAAATGCAACAACACAGAAAAGCCACAAGTAGTACCATATTACATTCATGCATCTACGGACTGAAAAAGAAACTTTATTATAACTAGACTTGGTAAATCTATCGACACATGTGAGTCTGATGGTTGATGCATTCTGTACCACACATACCTATAAGGGCGTATCTTTGGTTCCGGTCATGAGCACTGTTCATTCTACTGTTTGGGTCATGCGTAAATTGCGCATGACCCGAAGTGGGCTGCCGAGCCACGCGCGGCCCCAGCTTTGGGTCAATGTTGCTGGGCTAATAAAAGCCCTTAGGATCTTTGCAGGACTAAATTCTGAGTAGGACAAAGTAGTAGCAGAAGTGTTTTAATGAAAGGTTTGTGAACCACCTTGCGCTAGGATGTGAGGGCAAAGTAGATTGATTAAAACAAAGAGATACAAGCTTTTATAAGAGTACAAGGGAATATGAAGGGTTATAACTAATAACTGTTTTGCTGTTGTTGTTGCGGTTCGATACAGTGACGACTTGAGCAACTGCTCAATAACGAGTCAGTTATTTGTCCTTGCTGTCGCACTGTGCTTGTCAGGTCAAAGGTCGCTGACCTTTGACTTTCGCGTTGTTACAATCCCAAGTGGGACTTAGCAAAGGATCGCTCAGGGTTGATCGCGGAGTAGTGTTGCAGCGGAAGTTTGAATCTCAGGTCAGAGTGAATGTAAATGACTGAGTTGATAATAGCATGCATACATCGAGTTTATATAAGAGTACAAGGGAATACGAAAGGACCTAGACTAGCCATGTACTCTAAGGGGTACATTCCCTTATTACAACTGAATTCAGAAACCGTGCGGCGCGGGAACCCGTTCAAAACCTGTTCCCGCTCTTTTCACTTCAAATGTTTCTGCCTGCATCGGTCTTGGTCTGATGGTTGCTGCGTCGCTTCGGCTCTTCTGACTCCTCAACTTCGTACTCGGTGGAGTCGGCTCCTGCAGCATACAGGAATGCCTTCTCATAAAACTTCACATCGTAACACTCCCCTTCATTCCTGGGCGCGGGTGGAGCTGACTCGCTTGACTACTCCGGTGAGATCAGAGCAGTGCTTATACTGCTGACGTGGCAGGCGCTTGGTGAGGAAGTCTGCTGCCATCTCAGTGGTCGGGCAGTAAGCGAGGTCTACTTTGCCTTGGTCGATTTCGTCCTTGACGAAAAAGTACCGAAGCAAGATGTGCTTCGTGCGGTTCACGAATCCTGGGTTGTTCGCGATTTTGATGGCACTCTGGTTGTCACAGTGAAGGCGAAAGGTAGGCGAGGTTGGAATTTTCGCCTCCTGCAGCAGCTCCTGCAGGTACAGGCCTTCACGAACTGCTGCTGTCGCCATGGGGACTGGAAACCGGTCGAACACGCAGCGAGAACGGTGTGAGGAAACGGTGCGAGAGAGTATCTGAGCAGCCTAAGAGACGGAAATGGTGCAAGAAAAGCGGGTCTGGGGAGGGCACGAGGGGGCTTTGAACTGGCTTCCTCGCAGCGGAGGATGAGAGAGAAGGCGAATGGGTCGGTGAGGTCTGGCGCAAAGCGACTGTGGAGTTCGAACTGCGAGTCTGCCGACATTTATGCGTTCACGCGGCCGCGTGCCAGTCGGCCCTCGGATGGCGCAATTCGCCGCACCCAACGGAGGTTACCGACCCAGAAGGAGCGAGAGGCGTGCTGGTGGTGGGCCAGCGGTTATCGCTGCCTGACAGGCACCCAGGGA